AAATACTCCTGACTATCTCAGTATCAATTGCTAGCTGCGAACGTTCATTCAGCAAATTAAAATTAATTTTGACAGATTGCCTAAGTGACCTAGCATTTTTAAGTGTGGAAAGAGAAAAATTTTAAATGATCAATTTTGATGATATTATTGATACATTTGCTTCATCAAAAGCACGGAAAATTTAGACATAGTAATTAGTTTTATTAATGTATTGTAATCAGATGATTATTAAATATATGTATCTCCTTAGAGATAATAAATATTTACTTTTTTATTGTTTTAAAACTGTGTGTTTTTAAAATATTTCTTTATAAATATGTAAAATAAATAATAGGTATCTTTTGAACTAATTCTAGATGATCATATACATTTCAAAATCTAGTCTTGTTTTCTCAACTACATTTTTTGTCTCAAATTTAATGTCTAGCTTGAGCCTATGACTTTATTTATTTATTACTTTGCGAGTATATTTTACTTATAATATTAGATGATTTTCGAATGGGGGGGGGGCGCTAAAAAGGTATTGTGCCCCGGGCGCGAGTTAAGCTCGCTACGGCACTGCTTAGGGGTCCATGAACCACAGGTTAAGAAACCCTGATTTAGAGGCTGGACATACATGTCCCGGTCGTACTTAATGGTGGGATACATATGTCCATTAGTAATTCTTAAACATTTGTTGGGACAAATGAGTCCCGTTAGTAGTCAAAGGGTTAAAGATTTCATTACACACACAAAATTATATTATGCATGTGATCTCAATCGAACTAATCTTAACTTAAATTATGTATCTTCGCTCAGAGAATTAATTTGTTTATTAATCAAGTAACAATGAAAATAAAACAAACTTTACAAATTATATTTTAAACTCTAAGTCAACTGTTGTTGTTGTTGTTAATTTACATCGCACTAGAGCTGCACAATGGGCTATTGGCGACGGTCTGGGAAACACCCCGGAGGATGATCCGAAGACATGCCATCACAATTTTGATCCTCTGCGGAGGGGATGGCACCCCCGCTTCGGTAGCCCGACAACCTGCGCGCGAAGTCGAGCACTTTACGGTAGCACTGTTTAATGAGGACCAATACCGCACACCCTCAGTACCTACGCAGACTGATCCAAGTGGACACCCACCCGCACACTGATGCTTGACTTCGGTGATCTGCTGGGAACCGTGTCTTAACAATCAGTCCACTACGGGACAAACTCTAAGTTAAACAGGGACACAAAGGATATTTCCTTGTTGTCTGTTCATGCCAACAACTATTAAAATACTAAAGGGATTTTTCTGCATTTACAAAATTTTTTTAAAAAAATATGAGTAAATCTTTGCCTTTCGTGATTGAGTTATACCTTTCAAGTCTGTCCTTTCAATGATTTTATTCATCATGCTCAACTTGTGCTGGCACATTGAAATTACTAAAATAATTCTTTCTCGTCCACATCTTTACATCATAATTCATCTTGTCTACATCAACTAAGATTTCTTATTTGTTCATGAATTTTATTGTAACTGTGATATATTTTTGTTTCAGGTACCTGGCAACTTCGATGTACAATTAGTTTGTTTATGTTCTACGTGGTTTCGTGTCATGGTTGTGAAGTAAGAAATATATAGTGAAAGTATCGAAATCTTTGCGAAAGAATATAGAATGTGTCACCTAAGAGAATCGATACTTGATGGGCTTCACTAACTCGAAATAGAATGGAAAGAACAGTTGCTAATGTAAAAAATGCCACATTTCAACAACCAATAAGGATCGAGGTTCACACAGTTGCAGGTATACCATTGCTTAATTAAAAAAATTCTCATTTTATTAATCTTATTTTTCTTCTTTACTGAAATATTCTCAAGAATATACAGCATGGAAGCCACCCTCTGAGAACACTGTTTTACACATGATTTATTAAGGTTGTCAAAAAGTTCAACTTCAAATAAAATTGAAGAAAATAAATATTAAAATAGGTTTTCCTGAGAGGTACCTATTTTGTGAAAATTTAGATATAATTTGTGAAAATTTTAGCATAATTTGTGAAAATTAAACATTATATTAAAAAATCAACACGAAAATATGGATTTTTAGTTTCTTAAGAAAAACAAAAATAAAATTTCAAGAAAAAGTATTTTGTGAAACTACCGCTTTTCTTAAAGTTGAATTTGTGAAGGTATAATAATTATANATTTTTGTTTCAGGTACCAGGCAACTTCGATGTACAATTAGTTTGTTTATGTTCTACGTGGTTTCGTGTCATGGTTGTGAAGTAAGAAATATATAGTGAAAGTATCGAAATCTTTGCGAAAGAATATAGAATGTGTCACCTAAGAGAATCAATACTTGATGGGCTTCACTAACTCGAAATAGAATGGAAAGAACAGTTGCTAATGTAAAAAATGCCACATTTCAACAACCAATAAAGATCGAGGTTCACACAGTTGCAGGTATACCATTGCTTAATTTAAAAAATTCTCATTTTATTAATCGTATTTTTCTTCTTTATTGTAATATTCTCAAGAATATACAGCATGGAAGCCACCCTCTGAGAACACTATTTTACACATGATTTATTAAGGTTGTCAAAAAGTTCAACTTTAAATAAAATTGAAGAAAATAAATATTAAAATAGAAGACAGGGGTCTGTTTAGGTTTTTCTGAGAGGTACCTATTTTGTGAAAATTTAGATATAATTTGTGAAAATTTTGGCATAATTTGTGAAAATTAAACATTATATTAAAAAATCAACACAAAAATATGGATTTTTAGTTTCTTAAGAAAAACAAAAATAAAATTTCAAGAAAAAGTATTTTGTAAAACTACCGCTTTTCCTAAAGTTGAATTTGTGAAGGTATAATAATTATACCTGTATAAATAATTAAAAGCATAATATTCTTTATCAAAAAATTGCTTTATTAATGTTGTATAATTAATAATACGATGATTAATATTCACCAATAAAAATATTATAGAAGTAAGTAGAAATTTCACAATTTTACTAAAGTAAAATAATACACAATTTTACTAATAATTTCACTAAAACTAGTTTTAACAAAAATTATTACAGAGAAACGAAACAAATGTCCAATACATCAAGTTTAATAAGATTTTCAAAACATTCAATGTTTAATTTTGACAAATGGATCATATTATTTGAAAGTCTAAATAATGAAATGTATTAAATTGATTGCACTGAAATCATAAAAAATGCTTTCGTCATTCTGGTCATACTTAATCACTAAACAAATAGAAGTCAAAGCGATAACAATACTTACTTTTCCAAAATATGTTTGTTGAACTCTAGGTGGTATAGGTTTAATATTAAAGCGACTCAAAGAAATAGGACTCTCTGGTTCATTATTAGATGTGTTAGCCGGCGTTTCCATTTCCATAAAAGTGTATGATGTATATTGCCCTTAATCATGAAAGAATTATCACCAACTATCAGTAGAATTCAGTATAGGAAACAAAATTCCTACATTATTGACAGCAATATTATTTTAGAAACGTCTAAAGAGAATAAATTACAATTTGATTCTGTAACTAAAAAGGAATCATCGGTAAAAAGTTCTAAGATAAAAACTTAATTTTATTTCGTAAGCACCTTTCTGAACAACATACAGCCCACTACTTTCACTTTCAAAACATGTGATGATGATGAATAGGTTGAGTTCGTAATATCACCTAAACGCGCCTGCCCAAGGTATAGACTACTACCAACAAATCAACTGATAAAATTATTTAGAAACAGAATAAAAAGTTCGGAAAGGGAAAATTAAATAATAAAACATTTCAAACCACTGATAAAATCATTTACTTGTCGGTAAAAGTTTTCAGTTTTTTTAATTAACAAATCAGAAAAATGATACGATATGCTAATTTGTTCAAGTCAGAAAACCAAACCGTTTAATCGCTTTAAACTGATTAACTCTGAATCATCCAATTGATAACTTGATTGTGTAAATTGATTGCATGATTAAATTGATTGCGAAAAGGGACATACCAAAATAAACAGTTTAGTGATTCAAATAGTTTTCCATATCACGGATGCTATTTAATTGCATTTTCCTAATAACTAAGAATTACAGTCATTGTTTTGAATAGAACTTATTTCCTAACAGGGTACATATTTTCATTTAAGCATATTTTAAATTTCTATTAAGAGGAAATTAATGCAAATTTTTATTTGTTTATTTCAGATTTTATTTGATGTTTAGTAAACATTATGGCTTGCTCTCAAAAAGAAGCAGGTAGCATTACCTTGCCAGAACAAGACGTTGTGTTTCGAAACCTTAAAAATGCCAAAAGATTTGCTATAGATATTGGTATTACTTTAATTTTGAAATTTTTAATTTGTTTTATGTAAAGTGTAGAAAAGTAAACATTACCGTTTTTATGTGTTAAAGTACGATAAGATTTTTAAAATTTTGCTGGAACAAATACTGGAATAGTAATTACTACCATACATTACGCTGAGCATTAATCACAGAAATATAAATTATGTTTTTTTGCTAGAAAATTTTTTTCATGCATAAAATTTTGAGGTACAAATATATGTTATTGTAAGTTTTAGCTTTAAAAAAATCACTTTCAAAATTTTCATTTTAGCCCTTAATTTATTGTTCTTACTTTTTTTTTATTTATTTATTTGACCTACAAAATTTTTCATCCTTTGTTATTAAATTTTTCAGTCAAGTCTAAAAAAATTTTTAAAAAAAGAACAGAGAATCTAAGCACAGAACTGTCAATGGCTCCACTGATCTTAATATTGTGCAAAAATACTTTTACTTAAAAATACTTTAAAAATACTTCAAAATGCTTTTAACTGATTTAAAATATTAAAAAATCATGATACAGGAAGAGAATTTATGCTGATTTTTTTTTTCCATTCTTGTCAATTCTAGTTATAATAGAAAATTTTTATGACATATTTTTAAACATTATTTAAAAAATTTAAATCTTGAGCTTATTACCAAGGGGTTGCTTATTCGAGTTTTATGATAAATCAGATACTGAGTATAATATATTTGATTAAACATGACAGTCAAAAATTCCTGATCCCTTATAAATGAATCAAATTTATGCAAAACGAATAAATCATTATACAATAGGATATTAATAATTTAATTAAAAATAATGAAAATTGCTGTAGAATATAAAAAATAATGGAAGTATAGTTTACATTGCTGTTTGCAAATGATTGAAGTCTAATTCCATTTTTTCATTTACTTTTCAATTACTTTTGCTATGTATGATTCTCCACCAGAAGAACAGCTTTTTCAAGAAGATATTTTTATACCACAAGTTCAAACATTTTATTTTGAACCAATCAAAAAAGTATTTTTTTGTTTGTTTGTTTTTTTTTTTTTTGGAAAATTTAATAGCTTTTAATCAAGATCCAATCCAAGTTTCGTAAGTCTGTCATTAAAGAAAATTACGCCAAAATAATCAAGTTTTTGCAACTTCTGGCAATGGCGCGTTGAAAACTAAAAAGACGTTTTAGAAAGGGGACCAACTCATTAATGCTCAACTTGTAGCCAACCCCTGTTGAACAATAGCGTATTTTTATTTTATTTTTTTTAATATTTGATAATAATAAAATGTTTCGATGCCTTGCCAAAGGAAAAATGCGTAAACAGATACCACTATAGAAATGTCTCCAGTTGTTATTAAAAAATTTTTAAAAAAAAAACATTTCACTTATAATTCAAGATGTTTATTGTATAAATTTTGTAAGGTGCTGAAATATTTCCTTTTGCAGGTGGTTCACTGACGAAAATTGCATATTATTCCACAGTTTCATACAAACGAGCATTATACTCATTAGATGAAAATTCAGAAACTCAGGTATAAATTTTTGGTTTCTGTAAATAATAATTCTTTTCTTTAATTATACCTAATAAAAATATTTATACAAGATTGTAAATTAATTTCAATTTGTATTTCACAGACTTTGTGTGGCATTAAAATGTTTAAATTAATAGGGTAAAATTAGTTAAAATATTAATTTTGACATTCTAAACAGGGCAATTTTTTTTCTCTTGTCTCAAATAAAAAGATTATTGCTATCAAGAATCACGCTCTCAATTTCAGAGTGCGCAAAAATTTACATTTTGAAAAAATTGTGGAATTGAAATGAAATTATCATGATTAAGTGGCTCATAAAGTGATTATTCCAAAGCGTGTTTCAGAATTTATAGATCTTAATAATATCTATATATTTAAAATGAAATCGATATTTCAAAAACTGTGTGAAAATCCCAAACTGTTGAAAATGTGAACGATAACACCATGTGGACAATAAAATCTTCACATATCGAGTTCAAAAAGTAAATATTCAAATGCATGATTCTGAATTTCCCTCATATAATAATGTAGCATTTAAAAAATGTGAAAATCTGTAACTATAATGGTCAAAAATGTGAACATAAAACCACATGGGATGGCAGGTGAATTGTTAATAAATACGAAATGCGTGATTTCAAGTTTGCCGAACAAAATAATATTGCATTAAAGCACTGAGATTTTAAAAACGAAGAAAATCTGTTTTAATAACTGCTGAGAAAATGATCGACTAAAATACACAAATTCAATGTGGAATCGTTGCTAACCGAGAAATAATAACTTACTGAAATGCATGCTTCGGAATTTACTGTATGTTATAATGTCATATTAAAATATCGATATTTATAAAACCATGTGGAAATCTATGACAAAAATATTGCAACCGCTCAAACCATGTGGATTTATTTGTTGTTGATTGAAATTGGCGTTACTTATCATCAATTTGTTATTTTTTAATCAATAAGGATGTTTTGATCTTTGTTTACCTTAAAGATCTATCATCCAGAAAAATCTATTTTCTGGACTTGCCGAAGTCCCGTCAATTCCAGGTATGAGACTTACCACTGTGTATATATCGCTCATGGGCTGCAATAGCAACACAACTCAAAAAATCGTTTTGGGATAAGTGGGTTTAAAGTTTTCATTGCTAAGCAAAATGCATAAGAAATGCTTTAGTTTGCTTAAACGAAGATTACCTTCAAGTTGAATTATGAGTTGTGCTAGTATTGCTGCTGAAAGAATGTGCATTTTAATATTTACACCTGTTCTAAGTCCANTTCGGAATTTGCTGTATGTTATAATGGCATATTAAAATATCGATATTTATAAAACCATGTGGAAATCTATGACAAAAATATTGCAACCGCTCAAACCATGTGGATTTATTTGTTGTTGATTGAAATTGGTGTTACTTATCATCAATTTGTTATTTTTTAATCAATAAGGATGTTTTGATCTTTGTTTACCTTAAAGATCTATCATCCAGAGATATCTATTTTCTGGACTTGCCGAAGTCCCGTCAATTCCAGGTATGAGACTTACCACTGTGTATATATCGCTCATGGGCTGCAATAGCAACACAACTCAAAAAATCGTTTTGGGATAAGTGGGTTTAAAGTTTTCATTGCTAAGCAAAATGCATAAGAAATGCTTTAGTTTGCTTAAACGAAGATTACCTTCAAGTTGAATTATGAGTTGTGCTAGTATTGCTGCTGAAAGAATGTGCATTTTAATATTTACACCTGTTCTTAGTCCAAAATGCCTGTTTTTTTAGTTGTGCCTTTGAGCGATGTATGTTTGCTTCTTTTATTCTATAATTAATTATGTTGTTAATCAAATCTTTTAAAATTAATTATGGCATCATATTTCATAAAAGTTATAGATAGCAATCATTGGATGATAATAGCATATAAAGCATAACAAAACTAGCAGTTGTAAATGTTCTGTATTACCTTAATTAACAAATTGCAGATTTCTATAGCTTCCAATTAATTTAATATGACTGCTTCCTACGATTTTATGCAGAAAAGCAAAAAATTCTATTTTATTCATATAGTTTTTATTTTATGTAGAATCCTGAAGACGGTCATTATGAAGTATTGGAGACTGATGTAGAAGTTGCCCGCTTACATTTCATTAAATTTGAGACCAAACACATTGAATCCTGTCTTCAATTCATTAAAAAGAATTTAATAGGTTCACCTGACTTTATGAGAGGCAAAAGCATTAAAGCAACCGGAGGAGGGGCTTATAAATATACTAATATACTCACAAACACTCTGGGTTTGATGTAAGTGATGCTTTTTCATTGAATGTAGTTCGACTGGAATTTGCTAGTTTCTTTTGATTTAATTAAAAATTCTCCTTTTTTTATAAATAATTTATTTAGAAAAATCCCTAAGTTTCATTTATAGTAGTCAGTTTTGAATATTTGAAAAATTTACAACTTTTTTTCTGAACTTCATTTTTTATTTAATTAAAGAACATGTCTTAATTAATATAATAGCTAAAGAATATAAATTAAAGAATTTTTTAATGTATACTCGTATATAAGTAATATTTATAACAGTTTTTCAATCTAATTTTAGGGGAAAATGTATCATATCTAAAGTGCAGAAATACCAAGTAAAATTTTGATTTTTTTTCCTTTAACAAAAACATGTTTAATACTTATGTAGGCAAATAATAAATTTTTTTAAGGATTCAAGATGTTAGTGGTTTAAATACAGTAAAAATGAATAAAATTATTTTTCCACTGGAAAAATTTTAAAAAGTTGCTAATATTTGTTTGTTATAGTGTAGAAAATATTCTACATATTTATTATAAGAATATATTATTGATAAATATAATTTGTTGTACAGAGCAATGCAAATGTGCATAGCTAAATACAATGCTCATCAACTGGATTGTTAAGTATGAAATGTAAATAAAAGATATATATCTTATTAATTTATATCCTGTTAACAAATTTTCCTAAATAATAGTTCATTTTAATGTGGTGCAATGATGTGCTATGTTGCAAAATACATTTGTATGATAGATAAAGAAAAAATGGCTTAACAAAGCAATATTTAATGAAAATTATCTTAATTGTTTATTAATTATTAACAATTTTAGATCAAAATTTATGTTAATTGCAAAAATTAAGATTTAATGTTTTATGATCATTTTAGATTGGCAAATTAAACAAATCTACAATTATTTGCCGAATAATTTTTTTTTTTACTTACAACACTAAGAATTTTTATTCTATTTTTTACATAAAATGTAATCTAATGCATTCTTGTATTTTAAAAATATCATCAACAAATTTCAAAAAGCTGAAGAACTCAAAGAAAAATGTGATTTAGCAATCATATTGCATCAATATATATAATAAAGAACTTTATTAATGAGTACAAAAATTTATCAAACTTTTTCAGTTATATCTATTACGTCATAGATGGCACAGCTGTTATTTATGAATTTGCTATCACACTGTTATTTAGGAATTATGTGATAAGTATATTCTAAATAAATGTTTAGAAACTAAAAGAATCTTTTTCTAACTTTTCTGTCATTTCTAGTAGCTCAAATGAAAAATGTCTTGTTCAAATATGAAAGAAATGGGGCAATAAATCATTAAAGAATTAACTTTTGATTCATAATTTCTTTCAGATTATCAACATTAAATCATTAGTTATTTTTAAAAAAATTGAACATAACTAAATTTTATTCTATTTTTTAGGGTGGATAAAGAAGATGAGATGGAATGTTTAATTAAAGGCTGTAATTTTGTTCTAAAAAACATTCCAGATGAAGTATTTGAATATAGAAGACACGTTAATCCAGAATATCGTTTTCATAGTGTTGAGCCTAACATGTATCCATACTTACTTGTAAACATAGGATCAGGTGTCAGTGTCATGAAGGTATTTATAAATTTATGGAACTTTCTGTGTCGAAACTTGAATTCATAAATTATTAAAATAGTCATTTACTTCATTTTCTCAGTCAGTTATCTTTTATTAAAAATTAAATTATTAATGAACAAATAATGTTTACTAATGGAAATTTTTATTTTATATCAAAAGAACGAATCTTGATTGATTGTTGATCAATGTTGAGTTCAATAATCATGACTGTTCTCTGGCATCACAATACCAATAGAAACCTTGAGATAAATAAAACAGCCATACCTGACTAGCCAAGAACTAATAATGTTTGTCAGATGATACTGTCCAAAAATGCAGTTAACTGTATCTTTGGAGAATGCTTGCAGATGTGTATGAGAGTGGAGATGCACCAGTATCTGCCAAGGGCAATATAGGAGTCAAGGATCATGTTAGATAACCTAATTGTTTACAAAAGAAGTCAATTAAAGAAGATATCATTTGTTTAATATTGATTTTGATTTTTCATTGCAAATGATGACAATATAATTTATTATAAGAAAAATAGTTTTATAACCATTAATAAATTAGTAAAATATTTAATGTAGTTAAGATTTTTTTTTTGCCCAAAAAATTAGATACTAAAAAGCTGGGGTGTTCTATAAATTCTGTGTGTAGATTTCAATAACAAGAAGGACTACTCTGCGTCAAAATTTATTTTACTTGATGAACATTTGCTTTAGTTGAATTTGTGATTTTGATTTCAGCTCAATTTATGGTTCTGATTTAAGTTATACTTTTTATTCAATTTATACTTTTTATTCAATTAAATTTATAACAGAATATCAAGTGGCATAAAAAAGACAATGAAATGTGAAAAAAATGAATGAATATGACAAACGGAGCTGACGTCTTCAGGGGGTACCAGCTCCGGAAGTCATAAAAGCAAAACCTTTTCTATCGAGAGAGCACGGCAGAAATCTAAAATTGCTCTCTCTGTACCACAAAGGTTTTGCCAAAGTCCAGGAAAAGAATATAATACATAATTATTTCAGGAAAGTCCAGGAAAAGAATATAATACATAATCATGTATCCCCTGAAGAAGTCAGCTTCATTTGTCATATTTATAAATTTTTTTCATATTTTATTGTCTCTTTTGTTTCAATTCCTTTCGGATTCACTGTTTCTTAGCTCGTTTTTCCAATTAAAGTATTATTATTTTTAGTTGCTTTTAAAAGTTTAAATTCTTTACTTAACAAGTGGCACAAAGTCATACCTCTGAAAGTAGTGATTTTGTGATTTTTTTATGTGTTGGAAACATTTTTTTTTTTAAATTTCCATTGCTATTTAGAATGAAGTTTTACATGTAAAAAGAGACTATTACTAATGTAGTTTGTAAATTATTCATTACTCTGTAATGCAATTTAAATTGATATTAAAGAAAAAGAGAAAATAAAGCAGGGTAAAGTATCTCACATTTACACTGCTTTACAGTAACTTTATTAAAATGTTGTTTTAAAAAAATTTGTATGTATAACAGGTGGAGTCAGAGTCATCTTATGAAAGAATCGGTGGTTCTGCAATGGGAGGTGGCACATTTTGGGGTTTGGGATCTCTCTTGACTAAGGCCAAGGTAGTTATTTTATTTAAATTCTATATTACATACTCAATTCCTCCTTATTTTCAAAAATCATATTTCAGTGCACCTCCTTACAATTAATAAACATATTTTAATCTTTCTAAATACTCAGATGTATTTAAAAAGATTAAATTTTGAAACCAATCCATACCTGCCAACTTTTACGCATTGGGAATAAAATTTTATTTCTATATTTAAAGTGGTAGTAAAATGTCTGCTTTCCATATATTTCTTGCATTTAAAAACTTAATTTATAATCTTTTTGACCACCACTATTTTGAAGAAAATTAATCCTATATATTAACATGCAATACAGTTTTGGTAGCAGTTCGCCTAAGCTTTTTCAAAATACTGTGTTTGTTTCTGTCTAAAATTGTAATTTAAATTCCATTTTAATACCACTGGGGAAAATCATCCTCAAAAGGATTAAAAGTTGGCAGGTATGCCAATCTTTAATTATTTTTTAAACCAAATTTTTGTGTGCATGTAATGTAATAAATAGTGCCTAATATTTTACCTATAAATATTATAAAGATATTTAGAATAATTTTTGCAGCAAAAGTTTGCTTAACAATTATATTGTGTAAAAATACCTTAATTTGCTTTGATAAAAAGAGTTACAAGCAAAATTTTTTCAGCTGGTTATTAGACTAAGAAACAAGTTTGAGAAAGAGTGGCTCACATTATCTTTGAATTTTAAAGAGTTTTAATGAATAATATGTTTTAGTTGTGGAAAGTAAGGACCAAAAAAATAAAAATGGGATTTTTTTAATGTAGGGATTGGAGCTCTTATTAAGATTAGGCAAGTAGGATATTTGCTTCAGGACTCAAATGTTACATACCGTAGTTGTATAAATTGATCCCTTATTTTTAATTACTAGATATCAAATTTCTGGAACCTCATTTGTGAAAGTCAACAACTTAAAAAACCTATTTCTATTATATTTTTACTTCATTTCTATTTTATTGCAAAATCTTTTAAAAAATCTGGGGAATTTCAAATTCTTTGAATGGGGGTAAGATGGTTTTTTGTGGGAGTCAAATGGTGAGGATGAAGTAGAAACCATTGCAAAGTGGGATCGATCCATGTGATGATGATGCTAATAATATTGATGATGTTCTGGAATTTTTAAATTTGAAGTTGCATGGTATGTTTTAAAAGTTTTCATTGTGTTATATTTTTTGAAATTCTCTTAAATGAGTTATCTTAACTTTTCTTATTCTTAATTTCTTTTTTATTCATTTATTTGCTGAAGGTAATTTAAAGTATTGTTTCTAAAAACATATTTATATGTAAAGAAAATATGATGAAAGAAAATGCAAAATTAATTGTATATAATATATTAAAAAAAGTTTTTGAAAGGGGTAAATTGATGCAGAGTTATTCATATCTGTTACATTTTTTTTTAATGTATCAATATTTCACAATCAATGAATGTCCAAATTTATCATAGATATTTTGTATTATATATAATTATCAGTGTACAAAAGTCAACTTTTAAGGAGTCAAAGTTTGCACCAGTATGTGCGTTATATTAAATGCTTTTTGGTCTGGCTATAAGGGTTTAATCCAAGTTTCTCCATCAAAAATTCAATACCTTCACAAACTAACAATGATTCCCAAAATACATATCTAACAAATTTGTTTTAAAATGCATTAATTATAATTATATTTCGTTTTATCATATGTTTTTGTAGGGATTTGATGAACTTCTAGAGTTAGCTGAAAAAGGAGATCATAGGGGAGTAGATATGCTTGTTAAGGATATATATGGTAGTGACTATTCTGCTATGGGCTTATCAGGAGATATAATTGCTTGCAGCTTCGGAAAAGCTATCCACACATCTAAAGATAAAGATTTCAATAGTGGTGAGTCTTTTATTTTTTCTACCTATTTTTCGGCTTTGATACAAATATCAAGAGCACATTCAAAAAGTTTGATAGTCATAAAAAAATACAAAGAAAACGAGAGATACAATCTTTACTGGCATTCAAGTTAACCATTAATTGCAAGACATAATTTGTAGAGCATCTGAAAACTATCAACAAACTCTTCTTTTGGCATGCCACTTATAACACAATTGCCCTATTTTTCTCCATGTCAAAAGCATTTAATCCATTAACCAGAATGATTATTCGAGCTATTGGATTGTTCACTGACCTTTTAAATCACTAATCAAATATTTATACCTATAATTAGCGCAATTTTTGCAAAAATATGAAAATAGTAGAGAACTAAAAATACTTTATAAAGGAAATGAAAATATTAATTTTTCCTGTATCTTTGCATAAACTTTCAAACCACAAATCCCTTTTTATATCATCATTATAAGTCTTTAAGTGTTGAGAATGGCACTTTTATTGTATTTACTTAAATTATTAATATTTCTTGTAGAAAACTTAGCATGTGTGGCTACGTGCATTATGTTTGATTGTTCGTAACTGGTTTATAATTTTTTTTTTTTTTTTTTGGAGGCTCACTTCTTTTATTTCTTCCTTTATACAGTACAAAGCCCCATATCCGACTATTTATTTACCAGAAGGATCTCTTTTCCGAACATTTTTTATTTTAATAACTCTTATCTTGTTCTTCTTATTTTAATAATTTAGATCAGTTTGCACCTGATGACATTGCTCGAAGCTTGCTGTTCATGATCAGCAATGATATTGGTCAATTAGCATGTCTCTACGCCATGCTTCACAATCTTCAAAAAATCTATTTCGGTGGATATTTTCTAAGAGCTCATCATCTCAGCATGCACACTATTTCTTATGCTGTCAATTATTGGAGCAAGGTAATTTGAATTATTTTATGGTGATTCTATTCAATGTAAATAAATGTATACCTTGTTAAGTTAAACGTTTAAAAATTCCTTATTCTTATTTTTTTAAGTGTTGTAAATTTATCATAGCCTTCTTAAACTAAACTAAACTCAGTGGCGCAACAGTCCATGAAGGGCCAAAGCCTACCATGCCCATTGCAGTTTTCTCGACCTTGGGCTCTGGGATGCAGATGATTTAGTTGGTTGGTCAGGCGAACACGGATTCTCCAGTGTTAAGTTCCCGAGAATGCTTGGTAGACATTTATTGACCCACTGAAGGTATGTCAGGCTGAATCAACCTTGCACGCTTCAAGGAGTAGATAGAGCCATGGACCTGTGACTCGAGAGTAGGAAGCTTTATCACTCAGTCACCGAGTTTCTATCATAACCTTACCGTGTTGCTATTTACATTTAGTATAATGGCGTAAAATCATCTTAATCTAAATCTTTTCTAGACATAAACATAAAATGATCCATTTTAAGTCAATTGAATTCTTTATCACAAGTTTTTTCATCAATGTGCCATATTTATCATTATATCATATACTGAAATAATTTTTCTTGAGTCAGTATTTTGTACTCTGATTTTTTTTAATTCAAATCAGAAGTGTTATTAAAGTAAAATGAATCACGCAGAAATAGGAAGTAAGAAGCGCTGTAACTCAGTCACCGAGCTTCTATCATAACCTTAACTTGTTGCTATTTACATTTAGTTTATTGCTTAAAATCATCTTTTCAAGCCTTTTCTAGACATAAACATAAAAAAATCTATTTTAAGTAAATTAAACTCTTTATCATAAATTTATTCAGCAATAAAATAATTCATAAATAAACTATTAACTGCACGTTGCTTATGCATTTGATACAAGTATATAACTAATTTTTTTTTTAAATGTATTATGTTCTTTTAAGGGAAAAGTGCAAGCCTTATTTCTACGTCATGAAGGATATTTATGTGCTATAGGTGCATTTTTAAAAGGTGCAGAAGAATATGGTATGCTTAGCAAATTTTTCTATTTATTTTCTATTCAAACTGCTATATAAGTCCATTATATAAGGAAAATGCACAGTTGCAGATGCAATGGTCATTATAGCAATTTTTCTATTATTAGCAAATAAATTAATTTATAGGCTATTTAATATATTAACAAATAAATTAATTTATAGGCTATTTAATGTATTAACAAATAAATTAATTTGTAGGCTATTAAATGTATTAGCAAATAAATTAATTTATAGGCCATTTAATGTGTGAACAAATAAATTAATTTATAGGCTATTTAATGTATTAGCAAATAATTTAATTTATAGGCTATTCAATGTATTAACAAATTAATTAATTTATAGGCTATTTAATGTATTAACAAATAAATTAATTTATAGGCTATTTAATGTATTAACAAATAAATTAATTTATAGGCTATTTAATGTATTANCTATGGGCTTATCAGGAGATATAATTGCTTGCAGCTTCGGAAAAGCTATCCACACATCTAAAGATAAAGATTTCAATAGTGGTGAGTCTTTTATTTTTTCTACCTATTTTTCGGCTTTGATACAAATATCAAGAGCACATTCAAAAAGTTTGATAGTCATAAAAAAAAATAATGAAGAAAACGGGAGATACAATCTTTACTGGCATTCAAGTTAGTCATTAATTACGAGGCATGGTTTGTAGAGCAACTGAAAATTATCAACAAACTCTTCTTTCGGTATACCACTTAAAGCACAATTGCCCTATTTTGTCTCCATGTCAAAAGCATTTAATCCATTAACCAGAATGATTATTCGGACTATCGGATTGTTCACTGACCTTTTAAATCACAAATCAAATATCTATACTTATAATTAGCATAATTTTGTAAAAATATAAAAATAGTAAGGAACTAAGAAATACTTTATAGAAGAAATTAAAATACGAATTTTTCCTGTATCCTTGCATAAACTCTCAAACCACAAATCTCTTTTTATAATGTTGTTAAAAGTTAAGTGTTGAGAGTGGCACTTTTAATGTAGTTACTTAAATTATTAATATTTCTTGTAGAAAACTTAGCATGTGTGGCTATGTGCATTATGTTTGATTGTTCGTAACTGGTTTATAAATAATTTTTTTTTGTTTTTGAGGCTCACTTTTATTTCTTCCTTTATACAGTACAAAGCCCCATATCCGACTATTTATTTACCAGAAGGATCTCTTTTCCGAACATTTTTTATTTTAATAACTCTTATCTTGTTCTTCTTATTTTAATAATTTAGATCAGTTTGCCCCTGATGACATTGCTCGAAGCTTGCTGTTCATGATCAGCAATGATATTGGTCAATTAGCATGTCTCTACGCCATGCTTCACAATCTTCAAAAAATCTATTTTGGTGGATATTTTCTAAGAGCTCATCATCTCAGCATGCACACTATTTCTTATGCTGTAAATTATTGGAGCAAGGTAATTTTAATTACTTTATGCTGATTTTATTCAATGTAAATAAATGTATACCTTGTGGAGTTACAGTTCTAAAAATTCCTTATTCTTATTTTTTTAAGCGTTGTAACTGTATCACAACTTATATTTTTTTAAGCGTTGTACCTTCTTAAACTAAACTAAACTCAGTGGCACAACAGCCCATGAAGGGCCAATGCCTACCATGCCCATCGCAGTTTTCTTGACCTTGGGATCTGGGATCCAGATGTTTTAGTTGGTTGGTCTGGCGAACGGATTGTCCAGTGTTTAATCCCCGAGAATGCTTGGTAGTAACTTTATTGACTCTCTGAAGGTATGAAAGGCTGAATCAACCTTGCACGCTTTGAGGGTTAGATAGAGTCTCGGACCTGTGACACGAGAGTAGGAAGCACTATCACTCAGTCACCGAGTTTCTATCATAACCTTAACATGTTGCTATTTACATTTAGTATAATAGCTTAAAATCATCTTAATCTAAATTTTTTCTAGTCATAAACATAAAATAATCCATTTTAAGTAAATTGAATTCTTTATCACAAGTTTTTTCTTCAATATGCCCTATTTATCATTAGATCATATACTGAAATCATTTTTCTAGAGTCAGTATTTTGTACTCCGATTTTTTTTTAAATTTAATTCAGAAGTGTTATTAAAGCAAGATGAATAACACACAAGTAGGAAGCGCTATAGCTTAGTCACCGAGCTTCTATCATAACCTTAACTTGTTGCTACAAGTTAAGGTTATGATAGAACTATTTACATTTACAATAAACTATACAATAAACTATTTACAATAAACTATTTACATTTAGTTTATTGCTTAAAATCATCTTTTCTAACCTTTTCTAGACATAAACATAAAAAAAAAATCTATTTTAAGTAAATTAAATTCTTTATCATAAATTTTTTCAACAATAAAATAATTCATAAATAAAAGATTAACTGCACGTTGATTATGCATTTGATACAAGTATATTACTAATTTTTTTTAAAAAAGTATTATGTTCTTTTAAGGGAAAAGTGCAAGCCTTATTTCTACGTCATGAAGGATATTTATGTGCTATAGGTGCATTTTTGAAAGGTGCAGAAGAATATGGTATGCCCAGCAAATTTTTCTATTTATCTTCTATACAAACTACAATAAAAGTCCATTATAAAGACAATGCACAGTTGCAGATGCAATGGTCATAATTAGGACTGAGCGATATTAGAAATTATATATCGTGATGCATCGTCAGTTTTGCATCGCAATATAGCTATGTATCGCGATATAGTATTTTTGAATTTCATTTACTTGTAAGGCACAGAAAGTCAGATTTCTATCAAAACTTCATACTCAGATTGATTTAAATCAATTTATAAATTTGAAGATATATATGTTTTGCTTAAGAAAGATATTAAATAAATTGACTACAATGTACAAATCTTACTTAAAATATTTATTGAAATGTTTGTTTAGAAATTCATAATACGCGTAAAACAAAGTGTTAAAAACTTTTTTTAAAGCGTTTTTTACAAATTAATATTTTCTTGTACTATTATGCATAAATAATTACATAATTATTAAGTTCGATCGTAATGTTCAATTTCTAAATGAAACGTTAAAAATTATTTGTATGTTTAAAACAAAGTGCTAAATAAATTTTAGAAAAAAAAAACGCTTTTAAAACACTATTTTTTATTATTATCATTTCAGTTATTATAGTTCTATTATAGTTCATTTACGTCAAACTAGAGCTGCACAATGGGCTATTGGCAACGGTCTGGAAAATATCCCTGAGGATGATTCGAAGACATGCCATCACAATTTTGATCCTCTGCAGATGGGATGGCAACCCCGCTTCGGTAGCCCGATGACCTGTACGCAAAGTCGAGAACTTTACGGTAGAACAGTTTAACGAGGACCAATACCGCACTCCCTCAATCCCTACGCAGACTGATCCAAGTGGTCACTCACCCGCACACTAACCGCAGCCAGTGATGCTTGACTTCGGTGATCTGCAGGGAACCGTGCCTTAACGATCAGTCCACTGCGGGACCTTATCATTTCGAATAAATAATTAAATTAAATTAAATAATGACCGAATTATGAACGAAAACAAAGTAAGATTTAATTTCTTAAAAATAAAAAAATTGTGATATTCGATAATATATTTAGCTAATTAACAAATAATATGAAAAGAATATTTTTTTAAAAAAAATTTATACTCTCTAATAAAACGAAGTGCTAAATGATTTAAAAAAAAGAATAAAATACGCAAACCTTTCAAATTTTTTTGTATAAACAAAGTTGATTGACTTATGTCCAAATCCAACTGACAAAAATAAATTTTGTTTTAACTTTATTTCTAAAAGTAAAAACAACAAGATTTATAAATTTAAAATCAGTAATAAACACTCATTAAATTATTAGAAGTTTCATCCAAAAAGTTTTTAATAAATTAAAAGAAAGTAAAAAAATAACCTAACAAATTCAATTCTTTATGGGTGCTTAAATTAGATTGCCGATAATTTTTACATTTAAAAATAAAAAGAAGTTTTTTTTAAAAAAAAACTTAATGAAGAAACAATTAATTAATGAAGAAACTCTTCTTTATATATTCTTTTCAATAATAGATTGCCTTCAGAACAAGGTAACATCGGCGATCACGAAGTTAGTCCCACTGAAATTAATCTACAAGAAAAGTCGCGTCAAAGAAAAAAAAAGCTAAGAGGTGCGAAAAGGAACATGCGAAATAACCATATGTGTTCTCAAAACTCTGATTCTGATTCTACAGCTCACCAATCAAGGCCATTTCAACATAACGAAACGAACATCGTCTTTCACAGCGCGAGTTGACATCGGAACGTAAGAGAAGAGTCTTATATCGCCATATCGTTTTCTTATATCCTTGCTTGTCTTATATCGCTATATCGTTTTGCGCTCGTTGTCTTCACTCGACGGCTTAAATCAGATTTCTGGTGCATCGCCTTGAATGAGAGTCGCTGCATCGTCTTGCCGATATATGTGTTAAATCGATATGTCCCGATCCATCGATTTATAGCCCAGTCCTAGTCATAATAGCAATTTTTTCTGTTTTTGCTCATAAATTAATTTATAAGGTATTTAATGTATTGACAAATCAATTATTTTTTGGCTATTTAATGTATTAGCTAATAATTTAATTTATAGGTTATTTTTAGTGATGTTTTTTAATCCCATAATCTGTTTCTCATGATCTGAGTAATTCATTTTATGTGATATCTTGTGTTGTTTGATACAGTTTTCTAGTAATAAGGTTCCAATTTTTTGAAGTTTGTGATTTCCACTCAAACTTAGCCAGACAAGGATTCTTCATCATTCATCTGTTTTCGTATTGAAACTGACAGTTCTGTCTCAAATGCTATTGAAATCTGTTTCTGTAATTCAGTAGTTTTTTTTTATTATTTATTCTATTTTATTTTCAAGATAAAAAAAAATTCATCTACACAATGAAAATTAACTAGACAAAAGTGTACATATTTTCATTAAAGTTTTAAAGTTAAAGAATCTTAAATGTAATAGTTTTTTCTCTTTAAATAGGTTTATGTGAAAAGAAACGTAAGACTTTGTTTTCTCTTATTCTTTATTCTTAAAATTATGATCTCTAACTATTTTTTGTGATTTATAGTGTAATTTGATCCTGTTGTTTTTTCAAAATATCGTAATAAAAGTTAATTTTTAACATTGTGTAATATTATAACTGGTCACTATCAATTCTTTCCTTGAATATTATTAAAATATGTATCACTTTAACTAATACTCTTGTTTATTTTTTCTTTAAAAAAAATACTATTTCAACTTAAATTGTACTTAACACTAATTTTTTTTTAATTCATAAAGATACAGACAAATACTCTTGGTGTGAAAATTATGCTGGGAGTTCAGGTCTAAGCAGTCCTCTTCCTACGCAACCTTCATCTACAAACCCAATGGTAAAGATTAAGTCCCTTTTTTCCTTTTACTTGGCAACAATTCATTAATTTATTTACACTTATTGTAGTTATGAATATTATTTTGTACTCTAAGTTCAATCATAATCATCAAAAAGCTGAAAAAAATTGAATTGCAAGCTAAACATTTTTTTTTAGCTCACTGCGCTAATGTTGTAGTTATTATAAACTTCATGAAAGTTGCTTGAAACTATAGAGAATACAGATAATGATGTTTTTAATTCAGTGTTTTACAAAAAAAAATTAAATAAGGCGTAACTTTGTAATGTTAAACAATCAATCTTAGTAAATGTATTTTCCCTTCTCAATAATAATTTAATAATCAATTTATGCTAGTTATTGTTTTTGTGTTTAAATTTTTTGTATTAACCAAGATTTCAGATTTTGCAAGCGGCTAGTAATGCTTCATTTCCTAACTCCTTATTAGATAAATGTCCTATCATTTAGAAATCTCCATTATTTTTAGATGTTGGCTACGATGTAATAGCCTAATTTTTTTAAATGTTATTATTGAAATTGATTGACTTCAAAAATATTGAGCTGGATTAAACAAAAATCCTAATTTCTCTTTATTCCCATCAGGGAGTTATGATTTAAATCCGATTGTGAAGATACAAGCACTAAGAATTCCTGAAAGAATATAAAACAATTAAGAGCCTCTAATGTAGTTTCACTACAATTAAAGATCGTTTAGTTTTACATGCTCTGTGTTTGTTTCAACTACCATCTAAATTATTGTTTCAAATAATTTACCTTGTTCCGCTAAATAGATGTCAGACTACTGGAAAACAGCCGAGTAACTTTGATTTTTGTTATATTTATTTTTGTGTCAAACTTAGTATGCAACATTAGTTGATCTTTAGTACATTATATTGTTACCATTTGTTGCAGTCTTACAACTTCTGGCCCTTATACCATTAAACTTTACATTCTACCAAACATATTTTAAGAATTAAGAATGCCAATGAAAGTTCTTCATATTTATTTGAAATGTTAAGAAGTTGTTGTTTTAAATACACTTAATACAAGTAAAACGTTTATACATCTTGTTTTGCGAATATTTTTTTCTGTTTCTTACATTGTATATTACATGTACAATGTATATTGCTATATACTGTATATTGCTATATACATAGCAATATTTTTTTCTGTTGAAAAATAATTTTAAGGCCTTCCCAAAGCTCCTAATTTTATATCAAAACTCAAAATTAAATTTTATTGAAATGACTTTTTAACTATTTCATTGAATAATTTACAAATTTTAATTTTAGAGTTTATTTTAGATTGATCAGCTTGAGATCGATCGTTTTGATTGGCAACTTGTTCATTGCCCTCTTTTAAAAGAGCCAACTGAATATGTGCCAGACACAGTTGATTTAACTCAAGATGCAGATGCTAGAGATTATTGGCTTGTTTGTTTTGAAGAAGCAATAGACAAAGTAATTATTATTCTTAATTTTCTTTTTATTTCAGAAAAGGTGATTAACATTTAATAATTAGGTTATATTTTTAATATTTAATGTAGTAGCCTTGATTTAAACTGACTTTATATCACGTTGAAAAAGTATACTGTGAAATGATGCTGAAAAGTATACTGCCCAAGATGTGTTTCATTTCAAATTTATTATCAAGAGTAAATTTCTATCGGTTTATCTGCAATGCAATCATTGTCACTGTTCAGTAGTTAAAGTTAAAGAATNTTTAAACTGACTTTTTATCACGTTAAAAAGTATACTGTGAAATAGTTGCCCAAGATGTGTTTCATTTCAAATTTATTATCAAGAGTAAATTTCTATCGGTTTATCTGCAATGCAATCATTGTCACTGTTCAGTAGTCAAATTTACATAATTTCAGGGCTGATAATTTGGTATTTATCGAAGGAAGTAGTTGTTTGCAATGTAAGTTGCGTACAATTAAAATTTTAATTGACAAGCTAATGGAAAATAATTTTTATTACTTTATCTGTACTGCAGGACTAGATATTGTTTGGTTGTCTTTACTAAATATTACTTTAATTTCTTTTTAAGACTTTCTTGCTTTAATGATCATTTCATGATATGTGATCTCTTAAATAAAGCCAACTATTTTTAGAGTCATCGAACACTATAATTTTATTAGATATTTTTAGAATAATGATAGCAAAATTAAGTAAAATATGTGATTTTCTTATATTATATATATAATATTACTAAATATACCAATCACCCCAATTTGAAATTTATTTATAGATAATAATAATAATCTTTTAATTAATTTTTAAAAATAACAAATCGCATGTTTGTCTTCAGTTTAACTTGCAACGACCACACCAAAATTTGCACTTGATACTGAAAAATAATAATGATAATATATAACATATTTAAAATGTTTGATTATCCTTTCTTTTATGTTTTTCGCTTTTTAATTTGGCAATTATTTGAATGTAATTCAAAAGTGTATTTATATGAAGTGTAGTTAAATATTCAAAAGTTGCAATTTAAATTTTTTTTTTTTTTTCAGTTTGTAGAAAGAGCTATACAGAGCCAAGTTCATCACTCTGATGCTCATCAAAGAGCTAAAATATTCAAAGAAAAATATTTAGGCCGTTTACAACAATTAAGGCTTCACCCATTGTAAGTATAAAAAAAATATTAGTTTATTATTTCTTTAGCTTAGTTTTAAAATAAATTTACATTCTGTATAACAAAATTTTAATCTTTAAAATATAATGATGCTTTTTTTTTATAAAAATGCAATGTGAAGACAAATATATTTTTTGTGAATCATAATAATGCAGTAAAAATCAGAATTTAAGGTACTATTTTAATCAACTACTTCTTCAAATTAATTTTAACTAATTAAGTCAACATAAAATATGCATAAAAATGGAAATCAAACATTTAAAAAAAAAATTTTTTTTAAGCTTTAAGTGAAATTTATTGTAAGGTTTAAACAGTTTTACATAAAAACTAATTTATTTGCCTTAATTCGAATATTAGCGTTCTGTAAACTAAAAGAAAATGCTCTGCTAGAATTTAAAAATGAAGATGTTGAATAAATTAAAATATTGTCGTTGCTATTTGAAACTATCCAACCGTTTAAAAAAAAAAATGCGCATTTTTACAAATTTCAAGGGGGGGAAATTCCAATATTTCAAGCATTTATCATTTTCTTGTTCTTGTTTTCTCTTTTGAGATGATAATTAGTGAAAAACATTCATCATTCAACCTATTCTGCCATTTAGGATTGTGGTGAAAAAATCGTTTTTTCTTTTAGGTTTGTGCTAAAACTTTTATTTACATTTTAGTTAATGAATTTTTTGTTTAGATTAACGTTGGTTGGGATTCTAAATTTAGACACATAAAATCATTTTAATTTAAATATATCTTTTAAATGTTGCTAAAACTGTTTTAATAGTACTTTTGGCTCTTTAACAGTGAAAAATTTAGATAGGAGAGAACATTAGGTACTTAAATCAATTTGATTTCTATTTTTATGAATGCTGTTAAAACTTTTTAAAATAGATTACTCATAGATTACACTTTTTTTTTAATATCTAATGCATTTGGTTCTTTAACAATGAAAAGTTTTTCTGATATGAGAAAACATTGCTTAAATGAATTTAATATCTAATTATATGAATGTTGTTAAAACTTTTTTAACTATGTAATCATAGATTTTTTTATGTTATTTTAGTATTTTTGGTTCTTTAACATTAAAAACTTGTATATGATAGAACTTTACTAAATTCATTTGATTTCTATTTATATGAATAGCTTTGAAACGTTTTTAACTATGCACTAATAATTTTTTTTCCTAGTGCTTTTGGTTCTTTGACAGTGAGAAGTTTATTGGATATGAGAGAACATTGTTTAAATGAATTTGATTTTCCAGATCCTTATTTACAAGTAACTCAATTCAATGCTCATTCATTTCAATTCTATAATTTAATCTTAGTAACAGTTGACAAAAATTTTGTTTACTTTTATTTTTATGCTGTGAAATTATTCATTGCTTATATTTTGTATGTAATTGAAATTTATGTAGTCCAACTATAATTCTTATTCCTAATATAAAACTATTAGACGCATGTTTTTTTTTAACATTATTTTTGCCGACCAAAAAAATAAAATTAAAAAAGATATCTTTAAGATTTACTGTAAGAACAAGTAGATGTTGATGACTAAAATCTAAGATTAAAGCCTTATTTCAAAGAAACTGGAATGACATTTTATTTTTGTGTCAAGAGTTAACCATTAGTATTTTTGCTGTATGATTTCAGTTTCTGTTACAGGTGGCCGAGTGGTTAGCGTGCCTGACTGCGAAGCCAATGGCTGTGGGTTCAAATCCCGCTCTGGGCTCAACCCCCAACCTGAAGAGCCAGGATGTTACTCTTAGTTTGGTGTCTTAACAATTTTCACTCACTCTTGGCACAAAAATTATTGCCAAATGTAAATAGATGTGCTTCTCTTAAAATACTAGATGACCATCAATTCAGAACTTCCAATATTAATAGAATAAAAATAAAATAAAAATTGCATGTTTTATAGTTTTGCAGAAGGGATATAAATTTAAAAATTTTAACTAAATCAAAAATGTCAGTTACCTAAACAAGCCTAATTTTTTTAAAAAAAAATCATAATTATAATTTTAAAAAACTGACTCTTAAATCAACCTATTTGTTAAAAATTTTCTTTGTTAAACATGAGATCTTAATCTGATTTTTAAGTTGATGCTATGAAAATTTCTTTGTGCCTTGTTTTATTTAGTCTCCACTTTTTTTCCAGCAAAAGCGTATGGAAAATGAAATGGCCATAAAAATGCTGAAAAGCAGAATAGATGCTTTGGATTCAATGAATTGGGAAGATAGACAAATAGCTCTTGTTCAGGGACTACTTGCTGGTAATGTGTTTGATTGGGGTGCCAAAGAAGTTGCAAAAATCATGGAATCATCAGATTTTGGCTTTGCTGATGCAAACAAGAGACTTCAAGGTGTAATATTTATTATAGATTGTAAAGGAAGTAATTTTAATGGAACTTTAAGACTTATATTTCATTTTCACTTTAGCTAGACCCTGGCTTGTTGACAATGTTAATGAATGGCTTGCGCGTCTTAAAGGAGCTGCCCACAAATGTGCTGCTATATTTGTAGATAATAGTGGAATGGATGTTGTCTTGGGTGTTTTGCCGTTTGCATTGGAGCTTTTGAAACGAAAAACAAAGGTAGAATATTCCACTGCTATATACACAATATTAAATTAAATTATTTAGTACATCATATAACTTTTCCGCCTTATATTACTTTTTAGATGTAAGCAGATTTAATAAGAGTTTTCAGATTTCTGAATCTTTGAAACCGAAAATCAAAGATTAATAATAAAATTTATTTCAATATTTTATTAAGTAACTTATAAATAATTTGTCAAATAATTTATAAAAACATTTTAAAACAAAAAGTAAAGGTAAAATATTTTACTTTTATACAACATTAACGCACTGGCAGTTTAGAAAATGTTCAAAATTGAGAAAATGTTTTTCCTCAGTACACTATTTCCCTATCTAATAACATGGAAAAACCGCTTTTGCTATGCGGAGAAGACGCCAGGTTAAAATACGACTTTTTACGTGCAGAACCGTCAGTGGGTTAAATAAAATTATTTCATGCATAATATTACTTTTTTATATTACTATTGTTTATTTGATGCAAGCAAGGTACAATTTATGAGGGTTTTTACAATCAAGAATTGTAGTAATAAAATTTATTTAAATAATTTAATAATAATTAATAAAAATTTCGGAAAATTTTGCAACTGAAACCTTAATATTACAATTAAGATATTGTTTTAGTAAACTAAAAAGTTTTTTTAGAAAATAGTGAAAATAGAATTCTTGTTTTTTGGCAGAATATTGAAAAGTTCCTTTAATTTTGTTCAGTCATCCAAACGATGCTTTTCAATAAATATATTTTAAAGAAATATGTAAAAATGTAGATTTTTTTTCATGTGTATGTATATTGTTTGTATGTTTTACAAGTGTTGTTAAAATTCTTTTTGTGGTCTATGTGACTTCAAAAGAAAAGAAAAAGGAAATGTGGAATTTTGGAAGTTTTTCTCTTCCAGTTTGACTGTTTTATAAATATATAAATTCTTATTTTAATATTGTTTTGCTATAATCACTTATGTATTGTTCCCACAATCATTGTTAGTCAGTCCCTTCTAACTGTGAGTTTTCAAATATTTTCTTTTGCCTTTCACAAATTTGGAGCTATCATTAAAAAGTTAATAAACTTAAATACTACTGTTAAGTTTTTTTTTTTTTAAATTATATTTATATATTTTTTAATTATTTTACATTTTTAATAGTAGTTGATTTTAAGTCCAAATGCTAACAATGTAAAACATTCAGTACATTTAACTTTTTAAGTGCCCGTTTTTATTTTTATTTATTAACTTAGTTTGAAAATATGAATTTTTATTACTGAAAATATTTATAGAAGTTAAATAAAAAACATTCCCAATAAATATTTTTTTTTAAGTTTTACTATTATTGAATTCTTTTAACTTTTAAGAAGCTTATCCCTCATTAAAAAATATATATATTTATTGCGAATATTTTTTATTGAACTTCTATTTATTTAACTTAACAGTTCTTCTGCTTCATAGTAAAATAAAAATTGTTGACTTCGAATGTGACACTCCTTATCAGGTTAAGACATGAATGGAGAATATTTAGAAAAAAGAAAACAGTTTGAAACAAAAGAGAAAGGGGAATAAAAACAAGAGAAACCATGATAACTGAGAGAACAGCAACCTTTTTTTTTTCCATTTCTTTTCTGATGCAAAAAAAAAATTTGTTTCATATTTAATTTATATTAAATTTAATTCCTAGGTTTTACTTTGTGCTAACTCAAAACCTGCTCTGAATGATGTGACTTATCAAGAATTAAAAGTTCTGATTCGAAAAGTAGCTGCAATTATCACTGAGGTTAATGATGCTCTTTCTAGCTGCCAACTGAAAATTTTAGACTCTGGGCAAGGTTCACCTTGTCTTGATTTAAGGTATTTTTAAAAATCACTACTTGTTGCCTAAAGTATTTTATACTTTTTACTTTTGATATAAAAATTAAGCAGAATTTAATCTGTGCATTAAATTTTTGTTGTTTTGCATTTTTATTACTCTGATTTTTATTTTTAAAATTTTTATTTATTTATCTTAATTATTTTGTATTTTTCTCAGATTAGCATAAACTCCACTAGTCTTAGACACCTTAGTGATCTTTCCTAGTTTTAGTTTATTTCTATTTCAGACTCAATTTTTAATACTATTTGTTTTCATTACTTTAAAATTTCAGTAGTGTTTTTAAGTGCTTACTCAATAAGTGCTTAAGTTCAATCCAAAATGTATTTTTAAAATGTTTTGTGATAATTGCTTATATAATTTGCAATTTTTGCCTGTCTGAGGCATCTATCGTTCAAAAACTTATGTCAATGATTAAATCCAATATTAAAAAATAAGTGTAGATTAATAATATTAGTAATTAACACTTTTAGAAATTTTTGTATTAATGTAATAAATATAAATATGTATTTATACTTTATGTTAAACATTTTAACTATAAAATTATCCTGGATAAATTTACACAAAAGCTTCCTGGTAAATCATTGTTCTTGATTTAATAAGACAGAATTAACCACTGTGCCATGCTGACATGCAATGGCACAACAGCAAAATCCACTGCTATCAGTTAAACAAGGGTAAAGTTTGGCCTAAACTTATCATTAAAACTCTGTTGCATTAAACTGGTGCTTTGAAAGTATATAATATACAGGGTAACTATAAAACGAATATATTGTTCCAGAGAATTGAAAAAAAATGTTTCACTGACAGTGTTATTGGGTATATGCTTGTTAAATACAATTATTCAGTTCTGTTCTCTCAATTACGTTAATTGTTACAGTAGTAATTTTGCTATTTTCAAATGGCTACTTTTTCTCAATAAAATATAATCCTCACAGTAAAAAACTTAAAATGGAGTGGGAATGATACTATTTACATGAATAGTAGTGACATTTGGTAGAGAGGAAGAAAATCATTGTCATAACCAATTTTTTCTACATCAGACGTGCAATACATCTGCAGTATTTTGACTATTCTGGTAATAAAGCTTTATTACTTCACCTTACTGTTTCAATGTGAGGGGCAAATCAAAGAGCAAGATGTCACTGTTCCTTCTTCTTATTCGTTCCCATTGTCTTTATACCTTGTCCAGTAGCACTGCCCGGTTGCTAAGATTTTCATCCTGATAAAATAAACTGCATTCAAACAATTCATTATAATGTATGCCTCTATGCATATTCTTGAATCAAGATTTTGTCATTTCTTTAAAATTTGAAAAATGTACTCAAAAGCAATGTGTCCTTTGCGAGAGATGGCAAGCAGCAAAAATGACAAAAATTTAATGCAGATTAGTTTACTGTGTGCAAAAACTCGCATCCATTTGAAATGCAGCCGTGTTTATGAAGAAAAAAAGTGTTTTTTTACTTCGTAAACAGCCTCAGAAACACATGCAATGTTTGTCCAGATGTAAAGAACAGCTGTTACGAGTGGGATATGCATTTTAGCTGGTTGCATTTGCAGTGAGAAAAACGAACTTATCTATTTAACACAGCAAATGTGTTGCTTATCAATATCAAGTGGATGAGATTGATGATCTTAAATCAATGGTGATGGACATCATTCATAAATTATGGATATGAAATCATTTACAAGGCCTGTTCCATTCTGTGTTTGCCACATTGAGGATGCATGACATCTGTGCTTTAATCAGTCCCAAACGTGAATGATGGTAATTTTTTTGTTTACTTTATTTTAGATAGTCGCCATGTGAGGATTGGCGACAGCTAATCTTGCACTCTAGACAGGTAGTCAATTTGTTAGGTTTTACTGTATTACAATATCATCTTCAAAATATCCTTATTATACTTTTTGTGTGTTTTATTTACATTATATTCCCTTACCATGTTTTATTTACATTGTATATCCTTACCCTATAAATTCTATCAATATTTTTAATTCCTTTTCAGTCGATTAAACCTTGAAGTTGCGCAAGCAATGGAATCATATGGAACTGATCTCATTGTTTTAGAAGGAATGGGTCGTGCTGTGCATACAAATCTAAATGCAAACTTTAAGTGTGAATCAATCAAAGCTGCTGTTTTAAAAAATCACTGGCTTGCATCTCGATTAGGTGGAGATATGTTTTCAGTCATATTTAAATATGAAGCTCCTTAAAGTAGCAGAATAACATTATATTTATTCTGACTTCGATGGTAATGCCTTGTGATATTATTCTTTTGTGCAAAGGTGGTTGTTCGAAATTATCTATTTTTAATTATTGAAGTACTTTTGTCTTTTGGAGTAATTGTATGCTCGAAAAATCCCAACTTTCCCATAAGTTCGGGTCTACACATCAACAATCATGCTGAAAGTAATTTAATGTCACAATACCAGGTATTTCCTTAAGATTTATGTTATGTTATTTCTCGCAGTAAATGGCAATATATTTATCAACCGTATTTGTTAAATTTTCTGAGCTTGAGCTTCAGAATTTGGTTCAAAGTTTTTTTTTCCAAGTTAAATCATATGTTTTAAGTGGAATTTCAGTACAAGAATTTATGTATGGGTAATAAAGATGAGATGAGCACATCCGAATAGGGGCTCCGGTTAAGCTTCTATATACATTCGTTCTATGTAAAGTCCAAATCGGTATATATATATAGTTTGTTTGATATTGTTACTAATTTTTAAAAAAAGTAAAATAATTATTAACTATAAACAATTGAGAAGTATTAAATATTAAGAAACAAAAGAAAATCAAATAATTTATCTTGTATTTTTCAAATTTTGGCTATATATCATTTTAGAATTTTGGCCTTTATCTAAAATATTAAATCTCAAATGAGTAGGCTTATTCTAAAAAATTCTATTGATTTCAAGTTACAACCCCTAAGAATGAGCATGATCACATGTCTAATGGATATGCTCAAGCTTATTTTTGGTATGCATTATATAGATATATAGGAAAACATGGAAAAAGATATGAAGATATTTTAAAAGAAAAGAAGAAAAAAAAGGCTAAAGATATTGTTTTAAAAAATATTCAAAAGTTTAAAAAAAAAGATGAGAAGTGTAAGTACATATGAATTTGCTATTCACTTTATGCATTACATTTTATGTTTTATTCTACATTTTCTTGAATTTTTATTTTCTATTTTTATTTTGTTTTATTTTGCATTTTTTGTTTTACATTGCATTTTTTGTTTCTCTTTGCATTTTTTTCTTAATATGTTCTATTTTTGTTTCAATTTTTTTGGTGCTCTTCACACTATTCTGTTGATATATTTTGATTTTCCTCTTTTTAATTTTTTTTTCCTTATCCCTTAAAATATCTTCACATTTTTTCCATGACACCAAAATACTTCTCTGTATTATCTTCAAAAAATATTTCTATTGAATTCTCTACATTTTTAACATATTTTAGGAATTCTATGTACCTGCAGTTTATGAACAGTAAATAAAACTTTTTTTTTCTTAATTTTCTTCGTTAATCTCTCTTTTGCATGCCTGGATAACAATTTAATTTTTTTAATTTTAGTTAGGATCTAAAAATTGATCACCTAATTTTAAGATCTACAGTAGAAAGGTCAAGTTATTGTTATATTTCTTTTTCATCACTTTTTTGCGTGCCGAAAGTGGCATAAATGTATTAAACTCTTTAAAAAAATCAAATATCATTAAAATGTTTGCATTTTTTTAGATAAATTGAATTAAAATATGTATTGAATCCCTGTGGTTTGTGCAGAAAATGTTTATTAAGACAAACACTGTATTAATTATTTTAGTGTTCATGCCATAAATATTCTGGTTGAAATGCAAATAATTGTATGAAAATATAGAGATGCATTATCATATTTTATCAAACTATGTTCTCTAGATATTAATTGTATTATATCTTCTTGTTTGTGTGATCAGTTATATTTTTATTTAATCATGCAGCATTTATTACCTTTTTCCTTTTTTTATAGTGTAATTTTTGAAGGAAATTTTTTTTATTTATTATTATAATTAAAAAAAAGAATCTATAGTAGGGAATACTAATGTTTATTAAAACTAAGTTTTTTTTTCTTAATTTTTAGAAAAATACTAAAAAAAATTTTCCTCCTAAATATTCCATCGCTAGAAACCTGCGTTTTTTTTAGATTGAAAAGTCTGACAATTTTATATGCAAAAAAGCTTGTTTGAAGTATAAACTATTTGATTACTATTTGACTTTGTAAACATATTTTTCAGATTTTTGTAATTTCAAATGAAAGTAAAGATGTTGTACAAACTCGTATAGTTTTTTAAAGTTATATTATTTTTATGTATCTTTCGTTTCAGGATTTTATATGAAAAATTCTCATTAAACATATAATTGATTTTTCTAATTAATCATTTATCATTATCTCTTTTATTCTATGAATGTTGTAGTAAATTATTTTCTTTATTATATATATTTCTCTAGCTAATATTGAGTTAATTAAACTGTTGTAATTATTTTTGATTTTATTACTGATAATTTCTTGTTGCTGCAATCAGAAGTTTTATTTACTGTTAACTAATATATTGATTTAAACATTAATATTGTAAGCTTATTATTAGAAAGAAATTAAAAGTCTCTGGCAAAATTAAACAAATGTATTAAAGTTGTTTAGGTTACATTATTTTTTAAATTATCTCTATTGAACTCTCATTTAAAGGGAATTTAGAAAAAATTCCATTCTGTATGATAATGAATAATCTTTATACTAATCTCTAACACTAATCTTACTACCTTAAAATATCTTTTTCACTCTTTTTTTCTGTTTCAGAAAAAAAATATTTAAATAATAATAATTTATCAATTTATTTTGTTTTAAATTTTTTAATAATCATTAATTAAATTAATAATTGGCATTAATTATTAATTAAAATATTTCTTTGAAAATTTAAAAAGAAATTTAAAATTTTATTGAATTATTTTACTTAAAAAAAGCTAAAAAAATTTATTGTTTGATCATTTATTTTATTGAAATATCTAATATTTATTCTTATTTTAAAACTTCACAAGAATACATGCCTTAGACAAAAAAATAACCAAAAATTATTAAAAATAAATTGATCATATTTCTTTTTACATGAACCTTGTTGCTTTTAAATAAAATAAAATTCCCATTTTATAAATCACAGGTTTGTACAGATTTAATAGTCTATCATTATTTATTTTTTTTATTCTAACATATGAAATAATAATCTCTTTCTGTAGACAATCTATTTTCATTATTACTTTTATCGTATAGATTTTGCTGTAAATTGTATTATTTTAAATCATTTAACACTTCTGTAATTGCACTTAGGACTTTCCTTGATGGATTTTCTTAAAATTTATTATCAAAATAATACTATATTGTTCTAAATCTATATTCCACAATCATATTTAACACTCTTGTCTTCCAACTCATGCACATTATTTAATCATCGAAATATGTATATTCACATTCACCATGTGTGTATGTTTTTATGCTGCCGTCCTAAATACTTCATAATGTTGACATGCAATCTCAACTGTATCCTGTATCTCTTCTTATTTTCTTTATTAAAAAAAATTGTTGATTTGAATAAAAAGGGCTTATCCAAATTTCTTAATAAACATTTTAAAAAATAATTGTTGCAGTTGTTTTATTTTTAGTTTCACATAAACTGAAGAAAAAACTTAAATAAAAGTTCTCATCGTAATTAAAAAACAATAGAACTGAATACAAAAAGCAAAAAATTTAAATGCTATGTTATGATAAACAACTTTTTTGAAAGATGTCACTTTTACATTAAACTGTTTCTTAATATTGTTTTTGAATAGATACTTTACCAGCTTCCTGAAATTCAACTGGATGGCAACAGAATTCATATGAATACCATATTGCCTATGTGATAATTGTAGTGTCTTCGGCCAAACAATTTGAAAACCATTTTTACATTAATGTTATGTTAATTGATCATAACTTCATTTCGAAATATTAATCTCAAAATGCTTCACAGTCGTGATTGATTAATTTGCATGAATACTTTACTTGTTGATCAGATACAGTCTTTCATAACTTTGAAAAGGCATTAGTATTGATAAAATAAGTATAAGACAAGATTAATCCAGATTAATCGAACAAAAAGATATTGTATAAAACCAGAGATTTTGACTTGTGGATTACTTAAGCTTTGAACTTCTGGTTATGTCCAACTGATAAAATCTGGTTATGTCCAACTAATAAAACTCCATTTACCACTTAAGAACACTATTGGTGCCTCTGTGAGGCAACTGATGAGTGATGCGACATGATCTTCTGGACTTGGTCTAGGGCTCTAGACCAAGGGGATAAGCAACAACAAGAACACTTAGCATATTTTCAGTTTTAATAGTTAAAAATATGGCTGAAAGAAATGTTATCCGATGTTTAACATACTTAAATCTTCAAACAGTTAGAAACTGAAGAGTAAAATTGGTTGTATAAAAATAAAACCTTTTTCGATTCAAATTTTTCTAAACGTTAACATTGACTAACATGGCTTACTCAGTCTATCATTCATCTCCAAATAACATGTCTGCAACTTGTTCCATAGTTCTAACAAATGGTAGCAGTATGTGTGTAACAAATATTCAGCCACTATTCTGTATTTGTATCTGTTTTTTATTATAAAGAACTTTTCTTTTCCTCCACACAAACGTGGGCACGTACCTGGAAATAATCCTTAACCTTACTGATGTTTTATCTCTGAGTGAGACAGTAGAGATAAGAAACGACAGTACATGAAGAAAAGCTGATCAATCATCAAAAAATATAATCGTCCTTCCTGTCCTCCGGGAAAAAGCTATCATCCCAATGCTTCACATCAAGCTGGGCTCATGAATAGATGTTTTTTGATACCTGTGCAATAAGTTTCTACAGTTGAGTTATCAGAAAGTGAAAGGAGGTATGTTCATATAGGACTTAAAGCAAGAAAGATAATTGCTGACACTCATTTCGGAGAATTAGTGAATGATAGTGAAAGAAATGCGTGAGGGACATTCGTTGTAGCCAGTTTTTTTGGAAATTATAAATCTGTTGACTATAATGTAAAAGTTTAGAAGAGTGCATCATTTCATACAAATTCCTATGTGTCAACAAGTTTGTATGTCTCTCAAGATTCATCGCTTTTGCCCAAATCATCACTCATCTCATGGACATCTCAGTTTTGGAGTAGTATCAGGGGCGATGTTGTGCAGCAATGATGACTGACCACTGTGAGAGACGTCAGCGTGGCATGACGCATGCTCAACGCAAACGCAAGTCTACGGCAGAAAAATTCCAACACACCTTAGATTAAGGAAACATTTGCAGCGTGTATGGATATTACATTTGTATTAATATCTTAAATTCGATAGTTCTATAGAGAATGCATGTCATGTGACTTAATCTAACTATTTCCTGTGTTACTTTTAAGTTCATGAATGTTCTGTTGTTACTTCGACTGCCTGCTTGGGAAACTAAGAGAATTTAAGGAAGATAGTGCATCCCCTGCTTATCAATGGTGCCATCTATGGCCAAGAATGCGATTTCAGCCACACACACGTCACAGGGCGGACCCATTCATTCATCCACAGATCGTAATTGTTGCCTGAACCAATCTCCATTTCAGTACCCCCAGGGGTATGGTATTGATTTGTTATGAACACTTGGAGGACTTTGTGACCCCGACAGATTTAGCATGCGCCAGTCGCCATATAATACATTGGGTTTCTTCGACCTGCGGGATTCGAACTACCGTCCCCAAGAACACAAGTCCTACGTTCTACCAACCAGGGTATACCGGCCCTATGAATACTCTAAGTACATGTAACAATAAAATGTTCTAGTGAAAGGAAAATATGTTTAAAAGAATATATTTAAAAAAAGGGGGGCTTGGGAGTGATAAGGACAACATATTTTGAATTAGCATGTCAATTGTCTAAAAGAATGCGTTGAATTCCAAGATTATAACACTTATCTTATTCAACATAAATAATCTATCTATCTTTATTTTCTATCAAGAATGTTATTCTTATCATTGGCATTGACAGTTTCGTTATCACAAGTACGAAAATAGAGATAGGGATATGTTAAAATCTATTTATGAAGAGGCTTGTTATTTTCGGTAAAATGTTTGAATTTACTTTTTAATGTTCTTAGCTAATTTTTGATGATAGGATACATTCACTGTATCTTTAAAAAAAAGTGGAAAATAAAAGTTAAAAAAAATGGATTATCGCGAATAACTTTTCATCTAATCGTCGGAACTTCACGTTCTAGGACACAAATCTTCGAGAGGATGACTCAAATATGCTAATTATATTTTGCTGGCGAAGTTATGAAAGTTAAATTACGAAAAAGTTAAATTACGAAATTTCAATAAATATAGCCTTTTTGAGACGGATTCGAATTTTTGACCCTTAAAATATTCAATCAGTCGAAATCTAGTAAAAATGGTCCTAATGGCGTACAATAAAAAACGGACTACCCTGGATAACTTTTGATCTAATGATTGGATCTTCACGTTCTAGTACTCGATCGTAATTTTTCGAGGAGGTGACCTTAAATATTAAGTGACGGCGATATTTTAAGTTACGAAATCAGGCACAAAAACTTTTTTTTTCTAAATCAACGCATATTTTTTCGACAGATTCGGATTTCTGATCCCCAAATTATGGGGGTTAATCGCAATCTATGAAATATGATCCCTATAGTTTGGTTAGAAGAGCGGTATAAACTTTGTTTAATGTTTTATTTTTTTTGCGTGTTTCGCCTCATTTCGAGAACTTTTTAAATGAATTGAAAAATATTTACACATGATTATAAAAATCGTTTGTCCGACGATAATTCAAAGCAAAAAATAACTTTTACTAAATGTTTATTATTTTATTTAAATAATAGTCGAAAAATTTTTGAATTGTAAGGTACACAAATTTTATATCATTTTAAAGAATGTAATTTTACATGACAAAATATGAGCGAAATTAATCTAAGTGCCTGAGAAATTAAATTTTTAAAAAGTCGTATTAAAAAGAAATTAAAAGTTATTCAGAAAAGACCGTTCTTTTTTTTTACTCACTGTACATTTAAATGGCCACATTTTTTTAACCAATTAACCCAAACGAAAAATTTGATGGGGTTGATGCGACATAACGATAATCTATTGTTTTAAATTGTTCAAGAGAATGATTGAGATAAAAATCACCTTGTGTAAGATTTTATTGAGCATTATCCTGTTATCAAGTGAATAATTACTTAGTTTGAGAAGTATCTATCTGGAAACAATACAACGATAGGTACTTTACAAGAAAAAAATTTGTTGTAAAATTTATATTGTCACGCTTGAAAAATATGGGATATCACTTTATTACAGCCAAACCCTTTATTAGTTTCCATGAGTTCTCACCAAAACTCATTCATTAATAATAATTGTGATAAATAACAGTTTTGTCTTATTTCTTACGGAACAAAATTCGAGCAAAGTATAGTACGTGTTACAAATCTGTCATTTCAAAACTAACTAAGCCATACTTAACTAACACGTGCTTCACTTTTCATTTTCCGATTGTTTCAATAGTATTTGTGTATGTATGTATTAATTTTAAATTAAGTAAAATGGGAAACAACCATTTATGTTGCTTGCAGCAAAAATCAGAAACGCAAAATGCGAAAAAAATTCGGGCTCAATACACGGTAAGATGATGAAGATATAAAAGTTCATATTTTATCGTTTTATTTTAAATTATCTTTTGAGTTTTTGCTTTAAGAAAAAGTGCTATCAGTTGATGATAATAACATTGTTCGAAAAGAGGATGTTACAGTCATCAAGTAGTCACTAGGGTAAGAAGTGAAAGCGAAAGTTGGAAGCTGTTTACTACTAGAGTGATTTCGAATTTCAAAAGAAAATTTCTCAGTTTTATAAGTTAGCCATTTGAGATTTATCAATTATCTTTTGCCGTTAATACTTCAAATTCAATTGCGATGGCCCTCAATTGTTCCTCGGGTTCCACTCGCTGTGTTATTATTTAGAGTAAGACTCTATAGTATTTAATCACGTTTTTTTATTATATAAATATATCGAAATGGAAACTACAAATGGAGATTCAGAGGTTCCAATTTTATTAAATTCGTTTAGGCCTATACCACCTAGAATTCAACAAACATTTTTTGGTAAAGTAAGTGATGATATTTATACATTATAGGACTTCCTTTATAATTGTTATATGTTTAAATATATGTAAGAATGAAAATGGAAGAGGCAATGTTTTACTTGGCATTAAAAAAATCTTTTTTTTGCATTGCAATTACGTTTTTTAAATAAATAATTCCGAGAAACAGAAGTGTAAGATATTATGGGATTAAAAACTTCATTCGCTTAAAAATATATAAATAAGAAATAACAGTCGACAGGGCTAGTCTTGAAAATGGGCCCCTATTTTTCAGCGCTTGAAATATGTCGACTGTTATTTCCTATTTCCATATTTTTGAAGTGAATGAAGTTTTTAATCAAGTAATTACGTTTTGTGTTTACATAATTGACCCCCGGTGGCTGAGCGGTAGCGCTACGCGCTGTCACAGGTCCCTGGTTCCATCCTTGGGCCGGGCAAGGTTGACTCACCCTTTCATCCCTTCAGTTGGTCGATAAATAGAGTACCAAGCATGCTAGGGAGTCAAACACTGGGGGTTGAGCGTTGGGCTGACCACTCAACCGGAACATCGACTCTTGTACCTCAGAGCCCAAAGGTCAAGAAAACTGAGATGGTCGCAGAAGGCCTTGGCCCTCTATGGGCTGTCGCGCCACTGAGTTTAGTTTAGTTCACATAATTATACTCTCAATATTGAAATATAATTTTGAATAAAATAGTTTAGAATGATTTTTGAACAATAATTTTTAACATATGCCTTTAGTTTATTTTCAACAACTTGCCACAAATGTCTATAGCCGTCGGATTTCTACTTTTTTTTTTTTTTTTTTTTTTTTTTTTTTTTTTTTTTTTTTTTTTTTTTTGCAATATGTCGGCAAATGACAGCTATTGCCGCCTACTGTCTTAAAAAAAATCTTTTTAAGTGCATCTTTTAATTAAATTAATTCCTATTCCTCAATATCACATTCGTTGGAGAAATTGTATTTTAGAAACTAGTTAGCTTTACAATCTTAAAATCGTCGAATATGAATTAGGAATAGGTCACGCTGGCCCTGCACATTTTAATGAATGGAAAAAGAAACATCATTAGTACGAAGTCTACTAGTGCAATTATTTGCTAATTATTCACTAATACATCGGCAAAAAAAGATGTAATATTCCAGTTAACTGTTTTTTGGAAGAGAAAAAAAAATTGTGATGAGTAACACAGCCGTCGAAAGTTATCATCGAAAAACTGTGCGAAAATAGAATAATTTCACACTTTCAAACTACGCCTTGAGCTTAATTTTATATGGTAGTCATAAAACTGTTTATCGAAAGACTTCGTCGTATTATGAAATGATGCTTTTTGCGAAGAATATGCTATTTTTATAACTGGTGTGAGTTGTTTGCAACTGTTAATCATGAGTGTTAGACAGANTTACAATCTCGCCAATGAGGGCGTGGACAGAAGGAAAGTCTATATTTAAGGCTTGCTTCAAATAGAGAAGGTTTTCTTTTTTTTTTAAATTCAGACACACAAAAAATTATATATTTTTTGTAATTGTAAATTTAATTACTCAAATATTTAGTGAAAAATTTTAATGTTAAATGCGGCTGTGATAAATGCGCCCCACCCCCTGTCCCCGGTTCCTGCTGTTCGGTTAAGTTTAGCCTATCTAAAGCCAACACTATTTGAAAATGACGCAAAACTTCAATAAGGAAAAAAGCCATATTTTGTGAAAATGAAAAGCATTTGTGGTCTAATTTTTTAATTTTTAAAAACTTATTTCAATGCTGCTTATTTCAATGGGCTCGTAAAAATTTGCAAAATGAGAATAAGGTAGTGATTTTGATAATTTTCATCTAGGTGGGAAAGTGTCGCCCGATTTTTAAAAAGGTTTAATAAATTTTAAAAATATTTAAATTATTTATCTGTTTTAAGGCTCAAATAATTCTTCAAGGCAAAATTATATATATACAACAGTTTAAAATCATCGCATTGCATCAAATGAAAGGCACTTAAACTATGGCTTTCTTATTTTCCTTGGCGGCAGAGCTTCGAAAAACAGCGATAAACAATTGAAAACAAAATTATGTTTGATCATCACATTTAAAAGGTACAACACCGTGTTTATTAAAAAAAGTTACTGCCATCACCATTGTTTTAAAATATTTTCATCGCACGTGCCTCTCTCTCTCGTAAAGCAAAAACAACTGAATTGAAAAATATGGAATTTTGTACGCATAAAAAAAGTGCTAAAGGGACATCATAATATAGAAATGCTACAACATGGCCCAATGCTACAGCAATGGTACAATATGCATTTTTTCAGATAAGATACTTGATTAAAAAATTAAATCTATCTATGGCATTTTCCCTATTGATTAGCTAATTAATTTTTTGAATGACACAAGTATTTTTATATTTATTAAATACTAGACACTTTAATTATTAATTCGCTTCAAAAATAGCCTGGTCGGCAGGGCGCTGGGCCCATGTCCGAGAGTTCGTGGGTTCGAACCCCGCCGACCGAAGACTCCCCGTGCAGTAAATGGTGACTGATGCACGTTAAATCTGTCGAGTCGCAAAGTCCTCCATGTTCCCATAACAGATCAAAACTCTGGGGGTACTGGATTGCAGATTGATCGTTCTCTAATTCAGGTCAAAATTACGATCTGTGGATGAATGAATTGATGTATGAATGGGTCCGCCCTATAAACGGGTGTGGCAAAAGTAGAATTCTTGGCCATAGATGGCGCCACTGGAAAACAAGAACAATCTCACCCCTCTGCCTTAACAGGCATACGTTAACAACAACAATAAATATTTTCCCTTTTAACTGAGCTATCTGAAACTAATTATTAAAAAATGCATATATATATATATATATATATATATTCTGAGAATTAGTCAGGTATTTTTCTTTTCATTGTGATTATAGATTCGAGCTTTTAATTCTTTTACAACTTTGGAATGGGTGTACCTGACAACATCTTTAATAGCTCTAACTGTTTCACTTGGAATAACAATCGAGAGATTGACTGTAATTAATGCAAATGAGAGCGATTTTACTTTCGCCGTTCTTTTGCTACTTACAACAGGTATTTTTTTTAAAATTATTCATGTAAATTTATTGTTCAAATTCATGCATTATTGTATTATTTATATATTCTATTTATTGATTGATTAAGTTCTTGAATTTTTATAAATTTAAATAATTTAGAATTGAATTAGATTTGTTTATGTAAAAACTTATGGCATAATTTAGATTACGTTTATATATACATTAGGATGTTCATCGTGGAATATCCAATCCCCCATTGATGACAATCCTATACCCATTAGGTCTGTTTTTTAAAGGCTCTGTAGTCGCATGAAATGATGCTTTTTTGCGAATAATATATTATTTTTATAATTGCTGTGACTGTTAGGTGAAGTTTAAGTTTAGCCCATTTTCAGCTTGCATCTTCTATGCTTATTCTTAAAATGGCGCAAAACTTCAATATGGAGAAAAGCCACAGTTTTTAGAAAATGAAAAACGTTTATGGTCTAATTTTTGATATTTAAAAACTCACTCCAATGCTGCATTATCTGGGCTCATAAAAATTTACAAACAATTAGAATAAAGCGTTGATTTTGATAAGTTTCATCTAGGAGGAAAAAGATCACCAAATTGGCGATTTTTTATAAAAAGTTTAATAATTTTTAAAATATTTTACTTATTTGTCATTTGTAACGGTCTAGATAATTCTTCAAGACAATGTGGCTTATATAATTTAAAATTATAGGTTTGTTTCAAGTGTAAGGTAATAGCTTTATTTATTTACTTATTTATTTTGTAGCGGAGGATCATCAAAAACCGTATTAATGAAAATACAGTCATTCTGTGTGCAACTATTTTATAGGCTTTTATTTTAGAAAATCAAGTTTATAATAAACTATTCATTATTGTTCGTCGATTATTTGTCTATTAATACAGTGAAGCCTAGCAGAAGCGACTACTCTCTGTTCCACAGTAGAATGTTCGTTAATGGAGGTTGATCGTTCTTGGGTTACCTCCATTGACTTCAAAATGCTATCGAAGGTACATGATTTTTTGCAAACGATTTTAATTTCAGTCAGCGTCATTTTCTTGGTGTGAAAATACCACTTGTGTCGCGTCAGGAAAACTGGATAGATGAATAAAACGTAGCGTCAAAAAATAATACCAAAACTAATAAAATTATGAGTAAAATAAAAACTACCAGCTATGAATGATGGAACTACACTCAAAACAATTGAAGGATATTGAGTTTGTGGGTTGATCTTGCATCTGGAGAATTGTTTGAATGATTGATACACTATCGACAGACGTAGTAGGCTATACGAGATAAAATGACTTTTGTTTGGCAGAAGGAAAAAAATGCGTTTTAAGGAGCATTTGGATACAAAAGGAAAAAAACACAATTTGTTCCTTAAAATTTCCTTAAAAGAAAATCGTTTTTAGTTGGGTGTATAGTTGTTGTATTAGGGCCGTGTACAAAAAGAATTGATAGAAAAGTAAATTTTTAGAAAAACGAAAAAAATGGTTCGTACCAACAACAAAAAAAAACGATGTGCCGCAATATCCCATTTAAGGCAATTGGTGAGGTACAACATTTTACAAAAACAATAACGGAAGACTTATTTTTCTACATACCTATTTTTCTTTCCTTGATCAAACAGGATCTAAAAAAGTTTTTGTAAATGAAGCAGTAATTTTAGGTCACAATTTTGTTAGAAAATTCAAATTAAGTGACACAATGTCACAATAGTTTCCCCAAACGGTCAGCAACATTGGACACCTTTGAGGCATCGAGTCAATGAGGTTATTAATGAGGGGCTGTGGTATTCTGCCCCACTCCTCCAGAAGTAATCTTTCCAGTTTTTGAAAAGTTTGTGGGGGTGGTATGCAACCAGCGATTTCCTTGCCTAGAATATCCCAAATATGCTCGAATGCGTTCATGTCCGGAGAGCACGCTGGCCAATCCATTTGTATGATTCCTTCCTCCAAAAGCAAATTCACCAAGTTAGCACCTGCAGTTGCCGTCTATTTAGTCTCAGGATCTCATCCCTGTATCATCGACCGGTCAGAGCTCCATTTCGAATGATATGGAGATCAGTGAGCCCATCAATTTAGATGCCAGCATAGACCATCATTCCCCCACCGTCAACTCTTACACTTTCGTGCACGAACTCGGGATTTTTTCTAGCTCCACGTTCCCTCCAGATGAAAAAAAAGCCTATTATCAGAATGAACAGAAAAACGTGACTCGTCAGAAAAAAGAATATTGCTCCTTTCATTTCCACTCCAGTTCACATGCTCTGTTGCCCACTCCCTGCGGGCACGACAGTCCCTTTCTGTTTACGGGACTCACACCATTGGTCGGTAAGCATTCAGATCTACATTGTAAATCTCATCGGACAGTTTGTGTCGAAACTGTGGTGCCAGTAGCCGAACGAAGGTGCTGTTGAAGAAGAGATTGAGCCGTTAGCGTTAAATAACGATCTTCATTAGGCGTTGTTGCACGTCTACGTCTTCACCGTGATCCCTTCTCTTACGTCAACTCCCTTGCCCTGAAACTCCAATGGCTTCTGCTACTTCGGGTTGTGTGTGACCCCCCTCTAACCGGCCAAGAACCCCCCAAGCTTCTGATTCGATTAAATGACTTCGTTAAGCCATTGCACTCATCAGGACAACGAGCTTACTGAATGTCGATCATTCTTTTGCGCTTTGTCTTACATTAAGTTGAAAGTCAAATCAAATTCGCTGCGCTAAAGCGTCGTCTTCGATGTCAAATTCAAAATTTGCATACTGCGAAGTTTGGAAGTAAGAAAAATTTGCATTTGTGACTCTCTCTTCTTCCATTTTGTGCAACAACAAAAGGTTGCTTATACCGTTATTTTATACAAGACTTACAATATCCTTTTAATTGTTTTGAGTAGTGTATTTTCTATAATAATGTTTTTTGTTTCCGTTAGTATTTAATTTTATACCATAAAAATTAGTTAGCTTTAAACAGGTTTGAGAAGCGTAGTCTTGTCTAAGATAACTTTTTTTTTCTAATTTAACTTTCAACTCCAAAAATAAATCATTGATAGCATCGTCTGACTACAACATAAGGTTATAGATCTCATTCAGAGATTGTTAAAAAGAGCTCTCTAAAATAAGAGACTCACATAAATATTTCGAATACATTTTAAACTACTGATTTTTTTTGTTAATATTTTTCGTTTTGATATTTTTTCGAGTTTTCCTATTTGACCCTTTTCGTATTTAGTGCAGAGGTTTGTCCGCTGGGAGAGGTTTCGATAGTCTCTCCTAAAGGTTTTCTTCAACAAAGTCTATGGAAAAAATTCCGTGCGTCCCAAAAGTGGTCGCAAATAGAGGAGGTCGTTATATAGAGGAGGTTGCTGTATAGAGGTGGTCTTCATTAAAGGTTTCACAATCAACTCATGTGAAAAATTATGTGTAAAGTATTACGTTTAAGGTATTTCACACAAAAACTTCTACACTTTTGGACTGTTTCTTAGTGTCTACATTATACGTGATAAATAAAAAAAAATTAAAGTACCCTTTTTTTAATTTAATTTTTTTATTTTTTTTCCTTTTTTTTAATTTTTTTTTTAATTCTTAAATTTTTTTTCAATTTTTTAATTTTTTTTAATTCTTTAATTTTTTTTTTCAATTTTTTAATTTTTTTAATTTTTATTTAATAATTTTTTTTATATAATTTTTTTTTACACAAAAACTTCTACACTTTTGGACTGTTTCGTAGTGTCTACATTATACGTGATAAATAAAAAAAATTAAAATACTCTTTTTTTTTCAACCTTTTAATTTTTTTTAAATTTTTTAAATTTTTTTTAATAGTTTTTTTTTATAATTTTTTTTTACACAAAAACTTCTTCACTTTTGGACTGTTTCATAGTGTCTACATTCTACGTGATAGATAAAAAAATAGAGTACCTTTTTTTTTAATTAAATTTTTTTTAAATTTTTTAATTTTTAAATTTTTTTCTAATACATTTTTTTTTTATAATTTTTTTTTACACAAAAACTTCTACATGTTTGGATTGTTTCATAGTGTCTACATTCTACGTGATAAAATTAAAAAAATTAAAGTACCCTTTTTTTTTAATTTTAAAGAAATCTAAGAAGACTAGGTATGTATACTTTGCATACTCTTATGATTGACTTTTTACGATTTTACCTTATCGCCATGAATTTTAAATTTGTAACACAAAATCGATTAAAGTATTAAAATTGTACATACTTTACTTTTTAATAAAAATGTATCCACTTTTTATCATGCCTACTTTTTACTAACAAAAAAAAATTTATTCTAAAAAAAAAGGATTTTTATGTTTTTGAATACTTGCAGTAAATTTGCAAATTAAATACAATTTTCACGCAGCATTGTATTAAGAAACTTAATTAGTTTTAACGTATAAAACGGAACAATCTAGTTTTTTTAAAATACATAAAAAAATAGTATTTTATTTTATAAGTGCTATTTTTCTAATAAAATATTCTTTGGGTTTTTTTTTTCTAGTCTTTTGTTACATGTATGTCATACATTCCATGTTTACTGAGAGATTTGACGAATTGATGGTATTTGTAGTTAGTAACATCACTGTTTTAATATACTGCATAGTAAATTATGTAACAGGAGACACAAATGCTATAAAACTAGTAAGTCTGTCTTAAGTTAAAACATATTTCTTTGATTGTATCACTAGCGATTACTGTAAATCCAACGAGGGGGCAATTTAAATGCTACGTAAGCACCTAATAAAAGAGAAGTCTTCCTCTTTTTTTCTTTTTTTTTTGTACTAATAAAGAAGAAGAGATTTAAGCAATGCTTTTATATAAGGCTCTAAAATTACCTTATTTTCATTCTTTTAAATACAAAAATAAAAATTTAAAAATGTAAAAAAAAGGGGGGAATTACATTTTGACAAATTATTAATCTTAAATAAATTTGTGGACGAAAAAAATAGGCATAAATTTTTTTCAGAGAGTTTCGGAGGGCAAGAGTTTTGACCGCCGAAAGAAAGCAAAACAAATTCTTAAATTCTTCTCAAAAATATATTACTCGAAAATTTTTTAAAAGGAATTAAAATGCGCATTTTTCTTTATGTGAAGTTACATTTTTATTTAAATTTAATCTTATAAGTGCTTTACAGCAACAAATGTCAAAGTTAAAACAAAAATTATGGATGAGGTGCTGCGACTCTCTTAGGTAAGCATGGAAAGGGATTATAATTTGCTCGTTTTCTATATCTAGTTGAGAGGGAGGGTGACTAAAAACGCCGAAATTATGCTTACGTAATATTTAAATGGCCCCTAGCTGTCCCCTCTAAACGTATTCTTCATGATACCTCGTTGACACTTAAAAATAATGTTCGAACTTGCTATTTTGTGGTCTCTAAAATAACGTACAGACGAAGATTATTTTTGACAACATCTGGTAAATTTTGACTCTTAGCCAAATCAATCGTATACTATACCTGCAATATTTTTAAAAAAATTAAAAATTTATTAAAGTTAGAAAATAAATTAACGAAAAGCTATAATCTCGCCATCAGCTCACGCGATTACATCCTCAAAAATAGTGCTTTCTAATATTGTATTAATGTAGCCAAAGCTAAAGATATGATTAAAATAGTGTGAGTAGCACCGAAAAAATTATGTTACTTCTAATCTATCGCCAGTAAGAATTAAAATATCGAATAAATGTAATTATATCCACGAATAAATTAATATCAAATCGGATGTAATAAATATTTCGGACATTCACCAAAGCGACTATGTGATTTTCAACATTCACCGGTGAAAGTCAACAACCACCGATTTCGGTCATTCACAGTAACATGCACATCATTTACATAATAACCTCATCAGGACGTTTATTTCATACTTTGCCTAAATAGCATCCGTCATTTGTGAAATATAAATCATCTCATACTTTGCCGGCTAGTTTCAGGGATAATATATAATGCCTAGGCATTATATATAATGCCGGATTTCATAATTTGCCGGTAACAGATACAAATGCCAGATGCGTAAATAGGTGCAAGTAAATAATCTACTTTTTATGCATAGCACGTCAAGAACTTCTAAATTAATTAGTCCTATCCACTTCGAATAGATTTCATTCGACTTAGTTATTCGTCTAGATAGCAATATTTAGGTTTATACCTTATCTTAAGTTTTAGCACTATAGCACTGTTTTAAAATCATTGTGAAGCTTGTTTTCTTTTCAGGCTATTTAACAATCATTGGTGTTTTCAGTCCATTCTTAATTGGTCTCGGAGTTTTTCTGTGCATTCGATATTTCCATTCCAATAACTTGGTATTTTATACAGTCGGTGCAACTGCATCATTACAAAAGTCCTGTCAAATTTATTACATCTGCAGCTCATTGTTGAAATTTGATATGCAACTACAAGTTAGTATGTACAGTGCTCAAGATATAGACGGACCACCCTTAATAACTTTTAATCTCATGATCGCATCTTCTAAGACTTAATGGCTCAAGGGGGTGACTTCAAATATGCTAATTAATAAATGCAGACGATATTTTAAATTGCGAAATCAGGCACAAAAGCGTACTTTCTTTGAATAAATATATCTTTTTTTTTCAACGGATTTGGATTTTTGACCCCCAAAATATAGGGGGTAGCCGCAATCTGGGAAATATGCTCATATGGTCCCCATAGTTTGATCAGGAATTAGTAAAGATTTATTATTTCATTTAATAATGGTAAAAAAGAAATTGAATTGTAAGGTATGCAATTTTTTACATCATTTTAAAGTATGTCATTTTGCATGGCAAAATACAAAATTTGAGCGAAATCGGTTAAATAGTTCCTCAGAAATCGAATTTTAAATATCTGACTTTTTTTAAATTCAATTTCTCAGGAACTGTTCAACCAATTTCGCTCAAATTTTGTATTTTGCCATGCAAAATTACATACTTTAAAATGATGAAGAAAAAAACTGCATAGCTGACATTTCAAAATTTTTCGGCCATTCTTAAGTAAAATAATAAACAATCATAAAATTTACTAAAAGTTATTTTTTACGTGGAATTATTTTTGGATAATGAATTTTATAATTGCGTGCAAAATTTTTTCAATTCGCTTAAAAAATTCTCGAGATATAAGAAAATACGCAAAAAGTAAAATTAACATTAAGGGGACCAAACTTTGGACCTCTCTCCTGACCAAACTATTGAGATTATATTTTCCAGATAATATATTTTACTCTCCCAATATTTTTTGGGGTCAGAAATTCGAATCCGTCGAGAAAAATGTGTATTCAGATAAAGTATGTTTTTGTGTCTGCTTTCGTATCTAAAAATATCGCCTGGAAGTTCTGGAACGTGAAGATCTGATCATTAGATCAAACGTTATTCAGGATGGTCCGTTTATTTATTTATTTTTTTGCACACTTTAACATTAAAATTATATGATGTTAGGTAGAATTTTTATCTCTATGCAAAATTAAACTTTTAAGGGGTTATTCAAATATTGCATTAGCATCTTAGGAAAAGGGTTCGAGCAATACTAATCACAAAAAATTCTTCGATTAAAATTGTAAAAAAAATACATTTTAAAAACATCTTACGTAGGCTATTAAGTTACGTAAGCAGTTTTCTCAAGAAAGTAAAAACAAAAAAAGAACTTAAGAAAAGAAGTCTTAAAATTTCTATACGAATATATGAAAACTGGCTGCTTTGTCGTTCCAAATTTATATTCTTAGAATAGAGATACCTTGCGGTCGGAATAACCTAGTTCGTAGGGCGTTGGGCCCATGTTCAAGAGGTTGTGAGTTCGATACCACCTGCCTGGTCGAAGGCTCTCTTGTGTCATTATGATGATGCAGGTTAAATCTGTCGGGTCTCAAAGTCCTCCATGTTCCTATAATAAATCATATCTTTAGGGGTAATGGATTGGAGATTGATCGTTCTCTGGTTCAGGTCAAAATTATGATCTGTGGATGAATAAATGGATGCATGAATGAATTCGCCCTATAAATGGGTTGAGAGGTATGTGTGTGGCAGAAGTCAATTTCTTGGCCATAGAAGGTGCCACTGGAAAACAAGAGGAAGCGCACCCCTCTTGCCTTAATGGCATACGACAACAAGAAATACCTCGACGGATTTCTCTAACAGAAAGAATTTTTTTCTCAAAAAGTAAAGAAATGATCTTTCGAAAACTTTCTTTATTTCGATACAAGATTTTTAGCATTTTGAGGACGCTAGTCGCTTTTACGCAGGCAAAAAGGGGGGTTGTGTATACTGATACAACATACATTTGCAGGCTTGTCTGCTCAGTTAAGGCTTATAAGCTTTTGTCATGTAGATGGGCTAATAGCACAATTCGGAAAAGTTGTTGTAGTTGTAGTTCATTCACGTCGCACTAGAGCTGCACAATGGGCTATTGGCGATGGTCTGGGAAGCATCCCTGAGGAAGATCTGAAGACATGTCAATACAATTTTGATCTTCTGCAGAAGGGATGGCACTCTCACTCCAGTAGCCGATGCTGTGCGTGTAGAACAGTTTAACGAGGACCAATGCGGCTCACCCTCGGTTCCTTTGCAGGTGATCAAAATGATCAGCCACCCACACATTGACCGCAGATAGTGATGATTAACTTCGGTGATCTACTAGGAACAGTGTCTTAGAGATCAGTCCCCGGCGGTACTATGGCGATGTACAACAAGAAATACTTTTAAAATATTTTTTTGATTTAATGATCGTATTCTTACGATGCAATGTAACAAAATCTTCAAAAAATATTACTTTCTTGGAATAAACATAAATATTTTCTTACGATTCTGATTTGCCTAAAGGTTTTGACTTTTGTTTATAATTGCATTAATTCTTCGAAATCTCCATAACACTATAAACTTAGATACAATTAGATAAATGGTAACAGAAAATAGTTTAGTCAAAAGATTATTTGCTAAACTTTATTCACCAACATAATAATAATCTCATCAAAAATTGCAATTTTTATTAATTTTCAATTATTTCTTAGTGTTTAACTTATTAATGACCGAATTATTCATTCTTGAATTATAATTTTGCTATTATGTTTATTATGTTCCTTTCTTGAAATTTTTAGCAGAGTTTTCTGTAAACAAATTTAAAATTGGAAAAAAATTATTACCATTAAAACGTGTTCACAACTATTTTCGTAACTCTTCCTCAAAAAGCTACAAAGTTCTTCGCACCAGAAAAATTTAAGAAATGTCACGGTTTAAGTGCTTTTAACTCGAAGAAAAGCTTCAATTTTAAACTACAACACCACCCTTAATATGTATTTTTTGTTTGAGGTCTTTTATTGTTTATTCTTATGTTTTATTTTCTGTAATGTTATTGCTTACTGTTGTTTACTGTAATTTTTATTTTTTATTTTCTTTGCTTATTTTCTGCATTTATGTATTATTGTTCTGCTTTGTTTTTTATTTTATTCGTTTACTTACTTTTTACCTTTTTTTAAGCTTAGTATGTTGGTTTTAGTCATGGGCAAGGCAGATGTGATATTGCTAGGAGAAACAACACAGACAATTATTCTCGCATCTGGAATACCTGTTACATTTCTTTTCATCCTTGTTGGTTTTTTAGGTGTAAGTAAATAGCGCAATTTTTTTAGAATTAATTTGCTTAAAATACCCAATATTTCAAGAGAAATATCTGTGTAGAAAATTTAATATTAAGGCGATTTCTGTGCATTAAAAACAGTACAATCATTTCATAAAAATAGTATTCTACATTACATTATTCAAAATGTAAAAATTCATTCATAATAAACCATTCACCGGCAGCTGTTATGTTACATGAACGAACCACTTGGTAGTTCCACATAGTCCTTAACCTGCACAAACACACTGTTTTGGCACTTTCTATCTTCAGCGTTGCTCTGAATTTTCGCCATTAAATTTAAGATTTCTACTTTGGAAAAAACTTGTAATTTGTCACTACCCCCGAGGTAGGGTAGCCACCTCAAATTGCTCCGATTATGACATGATATCGGGAAAAAAAACTTTCTAGTTTTTCTTTTATACCTGTTAACCTGTTAAGGAACATATGGTCCAATTTGACTAATTTGAGACTTAATATCCTGTCTTAACGTGTTACGAATTTACCATCATTTGTCAATTAGGCTAATTACCCCGACCATTACAAATATCGGTATGAAACTGTTTTTTTTTTTTTTTTTTTTTTTTTTTTTTTTTTTTTTTTTTTTTTTTTTTNTGTCTTATACAAACACATCTTTCTAACATCAAGGGAGGTGAGAAATTTAATGATGATTGCGTGAGTTGGATGTCGCGTCGGTTTGTCATAAGCGAAACTTTGTCGTGGGCACAAATCGTCTAGGCAACAATTCGTTGCAAGCATGATTTGTCTCGTCATGGGTACAATTCGTCGTGCTTGTGACGAATTGTGCCCACGACCGATTCTCGTTACCACGAGTTGTGCCTGCGATGAATTTGCGATAGACCTGAAAATAACCACTCGCCACGTGGAGAGTCAACAAAAGAAAGTGGCGACTTAAATTCATTAAATAACCGGTCACTTTTTCTTTGCAGACTTCTGACACATATTTGTGTTGTAGAATGTAAAATTTCAAAACTATCGTTCAACAAAAACACATTCTTAAACCCCGAGTAAATCGGAGCATAATTTTTAATTTATTTTCACAGTGGTTATTTTCACATTAAAGAAAATCCTATTTTTACTAAGAATTTTTATCTTAATACTAGGAGGCTGACCTCCTGTTCGCTGCCGCTCATCAATCCCGATTATTGCTTCGCAATATATGTTGTTTCATGTCAGAAAACAGTTTTTCGACTAAAGTTAAAATAATTCATTTAACATGTATGTACTAAAAGGATTCTGTTTGCTTACGCTTGTGCCTCCACTTTCCACGCCCAAATATTATTTTCTGTTAGTATTATAAATATTTAGATCTATTGGTGAACAGAAGTCATTTTTCTAAGTAATCATTTTTTAAAATAACATTTATATTGTTTAACATTATATTGTTCAAGCAAATTTTATGTGTTTACAACCGTAATTTAATATTTTTGCTAACCAAACGGGCGGATATATTAAATACTATTTTTGCTTGCATCTCTTTGTGCATGAAGCTGCTTAAGTTCTAAATAATTTAGCAGATCTCCTTAACTGTAATTTATAATTGTATATTAATGCTATTTGCCCAAAAGTAATAATTGTGAAACGGTTAATAAGATTAGATCACCTTTTTAAATAACTTTATCTTAAAAAGTAATGCAGAATTGCATTCAGTAATAAAAAATAAAAAAAGCAATAATTCCTTTAATTTTATACTTTTGGATAAAAAGCGTAATAATAGCAATACAGGAAAATAACTTTAAATTAGGGATACAAAAATATTTGTAGAAAAACAGTACATTTTTTAATTTTATGCTGATGACAACCAAAACAATATGGAAATCAATGGAGAAAAACTGGATCCTACCAAGCGATTTTCCAGCAACTAAAAATGCACGGGCAACAATAGAGAACTGCGACGCCATCATTAGATTTTTATATCTAACTATATATTAATATACTAATTCTGTATTACTATACTAATGTGAATTGCGGTTAAAGACATTTGTTCAATGATTTAGAACTTAACTTTTAGCTTCATGCACAAAGTGATGAGTGCAAATATTGTATTATATATCCGTCCGTTTAGTAAACAAAAATATTAAATTACAGTTGTGAACGCACCAAATTTTTTACAACTACATATATTTTATATATGTAGTTAAATTTCAAAAAATGATTTATTTCCACTAATAGATCTCAACAGTATCAGAAGAGAAATCTTTGGATTCATAAGGTAAAATTCATAAGGTAAAAGGAATTCATAAGGTAAAAGGATATTGGTGACACAAGTGTTATTTTTAGTTCATATATGTTTAATTGAATAATTTCAACTGTTTTGGGCCAAGAAACAACAATTATTGCTAAGCTATCATGGGGGTTGGTGAGCGGCAGCGAACAGGGGGCTTAGCCCACTATTACAGTAAGAAATGCGTGTGTCGTGTTTTTAAATTATCAATCAATTTTTAAATTATCAATCAATCAATTTTTAAATTATTAATCAATTTTAAAATTATTAATCAATCGAATTTTTAAATTATCAATTAATTATAAAATTATCAATCAATCAATTTTTAAATTATCAAACATTAAAACAAATTAGTGTTAAAGTTATATTTCTTAATTGCTATTCCGAATATCTGAATTCGGAAAAATTTAAATTTATTAAATTGAATTTGCATGTTTTTTTTCTTTCTTTCTTTTCTATAGTTACGATATGAGAATAAATCTTTGATGATTCTATTTTACATCTTGGCCCTTGCTGAACCAACTTATATCACATACAAATTCATTTATGTAAGTATAAGCATAAGTAGTTTTTGTTTTTTTAATTTCAAATACAAGAATTTAAATTTTTAGCATGCGTATAAGATAATAACAGACAAATACGATTAACATGTTTATAAGATCGCATTATGTGGTATGAACAAATTTCCAATTAAATTCTCTGAAATTTGAATCTAACTTAAATTTTACCAATTAGCAACTTTATTTAATCTCCATATTTTAATTTACTTTAGAGTTATTTAAATACGTGAATGAGTCTTTTGTTTTTAACTAAGCTTTCGAATTTTACTTTACTCACAATCTTTATCTAACACTGTAGAATAATTATTCAACAAAAATGTGTTTTAATATGCCTTATTTTATTCTGAATTTTAAAAAAATCATTTTTCATAAGCTGCTATTTATAAAATTATTTTCGAATTAACTAGCGCTCTTTTTTTATTTAAAAAAATATTTACTTTGAATTCAATAAGACTTTTTGAATAAGATATTGTATGACACTTTTTTGACTAAAATATAATATATTGGAGAAAGAAAAATGTTACGTTGAATAAGATACCTTTTGGATAAAAAATTATTCCATAACAAAAAGATGTATTGAATTAGACCAAAAACAATTAATAAACTAAAAAATTGAAGTTTTAAAAATTGCGTTTTAAGCTGATTGAAAAAAAAAGGAATTATTATTTCAGACTTAAAACAAAAAACTTAGAGTGCATCACTAACTATCAATAAACTTCTATCACCTCTAAAAATTCTTCCACATTTCTTATTTTAAATGTTAAAAATGAGTAAATAAAATTATTTCGCTAATTTTCATGAACTTTAAAAACGAAGTTAAAAAATTATTTACTTCATTTTTCTATTCTAGTATCATTTTATTAAAATAAGCGTATAATATTACATTAAAAAGTGTGTAATATTTACCTCAACGTCTACAGGCAACAAAGATACGTATCAGCTATTTTCTATTAAAACATGTTGAAATTTCACATACTTCATTAAGAAGTAATGATTTATTTATTTATTTGTTAGTATCAATTTTTCTTTTCTATTATAAATTCTGTATTTTTCCTATTATAGATTGTAACAACACACTCAAATATTGATGCAATTTATAACAGTACTTTTGTATGTGGTTCTTTTGCGTTGATCATATGGATGTTACTGATATTTTCAACATCGTATTTTGCAATTTACCATTTTGGTAAAGGATTGAAAGAGAGAAGTAAGTAAAATGACTTTCGAAAAACTACATAGGTTTTTTGGAAATTAAAAAGAAAAATCTAATTATTGTCAACAAATTGATGTTATCAAATTTAAAAAGGATTCAAATATTATTTCTTTTTAATCAAAGCCATTTCTATAAAAACTTGTTAAGCTCTTTTATTCACCAAAAAACTTTTAGCCATAGAAATCAACGAAAAGCGATGGTTTTTTTTTCTTCCGAATATATCTAATGAGAAATGTTTTTTCTCCCTTTCTCATTGATAAAGCAGTTTTTTTTTTTTTTCAAAAACTATTTTCAATTATCTACAGTGCCCACTAAATTCTAGAATCACCAATCACCCTTTTAATTCATGGACGGTTTCAGCTATAAAAGTGGTGTCTAGGTGTTGTAAAATGGTATTATGTTTCCAATAAATTATTATACGATGCATTTTTTTATATAGAATGTTTAGAAGACCTTGTGATAACTAGACTGATACTACTCGAAAGTTTAGAGGGTGGATCAAAACTTTAAGGGGCACTCTACAATATATATGAAGAAAATTAGCTTACAAACTAACATTAATTACATAAATACACTCTTTTATATGTGTATGCACTATAAATACAAACGTCGTTAAACCATTTTATATACATTCTCATTCGACAAAAAAAGAAAAAAAAAAAGGGGGGGAAAAAAAAACAGGATATAATCGTTAGTAAATAAAGATCTCGATATCTTTGAGGGCCATTAGTATAAAATTAATAAAAGTTACAGCGGTATTTACTAGCGATATTTATTTATCACCATTTCTTATACTTTCAGTTAATATAAAAATTTTGATCATGATTCGAAATTAGTGACTTAAAACCGAAAGTGCTGTTCATTTATTGCTGTTTCTAATACTACTTGTCAATAACAGCAAGCATGCTTGGTGAAACCAAGCGAATTTAAAGCAGAGGATGCGTTTTTTGTCTTTCAGTGGCGCCATCTAGAGCCAAGAATACGTCTCTAACCACACACACGCACGCCACATCCCGTTTTTATAGGGTGAACCCATTCATACATCCACGGATCGTAATTTTGACCTGAACCAGAGAACGATAAATCTCCAATTCAGTACTCTCAGAGATATTGAAGTGTTATGGGAACTCGGAGGACTTAGTTACCCAACAGATTTAATATGCACCAGCCACCATTTACTACACGGCAGGTGGGATCGAACTCACAACGTCTTGGACACGGGTCCAACGTTCTACCAACCAGGCTATCGCGACCCTCACGTAGTTCATTTACTTTATTATATTGCGTGATATTACCTTATTATGGAACATTTTATGATAAATATAATTACTCATAGTTTTACACATATTAAAAGGGGATTAAATTATAATTACTTTCATAATAAATTTTATTTAAAACTGTGTTCAGTAAACATATTAAAATAATTAATGTATAGGGATATCTAATGATGGTGTCGTAGTTTTCCATTGTTGTCAGTACATTTTTACTGGCCGAAAAACCACATTGTAGGATTCAGTTTTCCCGTAAAATATTTTTGTAAGCTAAATTTAAAAGTTATATATTTTTTTTTCTTATTTTATTCTGCTATTATTACGCTGTTGATTTTGATTGTTGCTTAAATTCAGAATTTAAAAGAGTTATTTCTTTATTACATTCTAAGATAAATTTATTATTTGAATCGGTGTCTCAACTTATTAACCGTTTTACAATTATTATTTTATCGCATAAGTTATATTAATATGTTATTAATAAATTATCATTAAAAGATCAGAACTTAATGATCAGCTTCATGCAGAAAGTGATTTAGTGCAAACTGTATTTAATGCATCTGACAGGATCATAATAGATTCAAAAAGGAAATACAATGATACGAGATCTTTTAAAATATTTACTAATCAAATTTATCTCATAATAAACATTAAAATTTAAAAAAATGAATGCTGAACATGGAAAGCGGCAAAGAACAGGAGGCTTGGTCCTCTAGTACCAAAGAAAAAAAAAGAAGAAGAAAACAGCACATAAAAGTGTAAAGCAAATTATTAATAATAAACATTTTACACTACTGCAAAATAATCTTTTTGGTGAAAAATATTTAACGAAGTTTTACTGTAGATCAAAATTGGATAAAAAAAATAATAAATAAATAAAAGTTACTGTTATGGTAAACCGATCAAAATTTTCAGGTTGAAATATTTAAAATCGAAAACTAAATATATGAGAAGTAATATTCGTTAATACCATAAAAAAATTTGGGATATTTTAATTAAAAATAATTTAATACATATATATGATCAAAATATATATATTAACTGAATATTATGATACTAACGAATATTAATATATGTTTAAGAATATTATAATATTTACTAAATATTAAATATATATATATGATCAGAAATTTTCTAAAAAAATATTTGGAACCCCCTCCTCCAAATATTAGCACCCAGCTACGTGCTTGGTGCATTAATTTTTTTTCAATAATTTAACATAAAAGCTAATACAATTATTTTTCTTTACTTAGTGTTTGAAGACAATGGAGGCTCACAAAGTTTTACTACAAGAAATAGTGAAGCAACTTACTTACTGTCTCCTTCTCTAACAGGGATACAATCTACATAGGATCTAAGATCTTTCCACTTCTACATCTCTTACAACAATAAAATCCCTCTGATTTGAACTAATCATTGATTCATATTATTGAAAGGAAAAGGATGATACGAAGTAATTGAGATGCCCAGAAAGTTAGTGATTGTTTTCGGTGACAAATGGGTAGGTTTGAAAATATCAGAATGTTTGAAAGCATATGACATGTTTACAAAATTATGAAAGACGAATTTTATTTAGTATTACTGCTGTTAAAGGAATTAAAGATGCTATTGGACATGAATCTGAAAATGTCATGTTTCTTTAGGAAAAAGCATGGTTTATTCTCTTCTCTTCAAAAAAAAAAAATCCTATCCACTATATTTATCAAACTTTTGCACATTACAATTCTTTGGACGATTTAAAAACTCACCTAGAATAGCTTTTTTGCCAAAAATGCTGGGAGGTTCTGAAAGATTTCTAAAGTTGGCCTCTAAAATCAGGTATCAGTAGGGCAGATTTGTTGGCAACTGTTTCAAGGGATTATAGTAGGTGGGTCAACGTTGCTCTCACAGTGAGGACAGATAATGAAAGAACATCCATGCCATGTCCGGGATTCGAATCCAGGACCTTACTAGCGCGAGGTCAGTTCCCTGACCATTATACAAACTGGTAGGCAGTTACCGAAAATAGGTTACATAATTATATCAACATTAAAGTGTATGTAGTTTCTTTCAAAATGGAAATGGACTTGAATAGAAAAAGACATTTTAAGGACAAATTATATTGACAATTAAATCAAAAAAATTGTGTACTTAAGTTTTAAATACTCTAAACGGAATGTATAATATAGGGTGATATCATGTTATATATTGAGTGATTATTTTTCTCACTATATTCCAATGTACATTTACATGATTTTGATGTCGATGAAGAAATGTTTCTTACCACAAGCAAGAATTTGATCTTTTTCAAATAAGCATAACAGTGCTAACTTTGTATTCTTTTAATCTGATCCAATTTTTTGATTAATCCCTATAGTCATAGGAATTGTTAACTTAACATGTAATAAAAAGCTTAGTGGTTGAGAGTTCTAAGAGATCATTTTTTTTTATCATACATACAAAAATATTTGAAAATAATTCAATTTCTCGAGAATTATTTTATTTGCCTATGCAACATTAATTTATTTTGTTATAAATTTCTAATCAAACAATAGATGTAAGTACAAATTACATAGCAATCTTGCGAGCTTTAGAAGGGGAGGAAATTTCCCTGTGCAATTGATGCCATAGCCAAATTTGCTTGGGACCCTATTTTTAAAAACTTCTTTTAAAAGCACCAGCAATTTAAGAAGCCATGAATGTGAACACTATGACACAGTTTACATATTAGGGATTTTTAAAGATTTAGTCACTAGTTGGCAGTTTGTGGACAAGGAAAATAAACAAAACAAGACATGATCTTTATTTCCATTTACAAAATATGGTTATTAGTTTCCAAAACGGATCTAAAAGTTCCTGAAAACTCAAGTATCTGGCAAAAACTTTAATAATCTCTTATTGGTGGGAAGTATGCAACAAGTATGAAATATACTATAAGTGAAATAGATTGTAGATTAATTATATACCACTCATATTTTGAGAATCAAGAATTATTCGTCAAAAAAAAGAAAAAAATGATTATTCTGAGAAAGTAGGATTTTGTATCTCATTTGATATTGTCTGCGCTTTAATTACATTATGGTTGGTAATTAGTATTTTCATGGTCAGGACCTTCAACCCTTAACAGAGAGTCCTGGTACATGAAACACTGTCAAAAATCTAATAAAATATCAAAATCTAATCAGCAAATATTTTAATTAAATATACAATTGTAAAAAAATTTGACTTCAAATCATTTTAGATTTTCTTTTTTTTAACTTACAAAGTAATTTTTAGCATTTTGTTTTTTCTTATTTCACTTTGTTTTTAAATTTTAAAGATGTTTAAATAAAATGAAATGTTTCTAGTTTTTTCAGAACATTTAACATTACTGCAAAATTCTGACAAATATAATGTGTAAAATTTATTACGGGTACATAAACTAAATAAATGTTCGAGTTAAACATGCAATTAGAAAAGTTTAAAATATGTTATGAAAAAGAAAAATTGTACTAAATGAAATAGAATCATAAAAATGATCGTATAATACAAATAATTACAAACATTTTATTTTTTTAATATACAAATTTAGATTATATTACAACAGGTCAGAAAAAAATATACAAAGACATATTTTGATTATATAACAAAAAATGACAGTAAAATAGTTCTACATATTTTCAGACTTTTTGTTTCCATTCTAACAATTTATACTTTGAGAACAATATTGTAATTCATACCAATATTCCGTTTCAAAATCCAAATAAACTATTAAAAAAATAGCTTTTTTTTTTTTGGTTTTACATTTAATTCTGCAAAAATCATATATTCAATTTCAAAATACAAATAAATTTATAATATAAATATGTATGTTTTTTAACATACAAACATTTGACTTTCAAAGTTAATACACTTAACATAATTTTATTTTGCCCCAAAATGTAAATAGAATGTAATCTGAACATCAGAAATCAACAAAGTTACAATATTTTATGCTTCTCAAATTAAAAGCAATAAATGGAAAGGCGTACAGCATTTTCTAAAAAGTCTTATTTTTGTGACAAAAAGTTAAGATTGTGGTACGAATTTTGCGTTTGTATTTTTTTAAAAACAATACTTTGGTAAATATGAATATTTTAATTCAAAAGGTAAGTAAACTTACTAGCATCTATAATACAAATAAAACAACAGAAAATCCAAAAGATTGCAAAAAAATAAGGATGTTATATATAGAGAGCATGGAACTGCTTCATAGTAAGCCTTTTTCTACATTGGGGGCATTGCTTGCAATTTTTTATAGCTAGTTTTATACAATCGGAACAAAATATGTGTCCACAATTAGTGCTGACTAAACTCCTGCCACTTGCTTCAATCTGTAAAAAAAGGTAAGTCGCATAACTATTGCAATAAAACATAGACATCAGACACTTAAATGCTATCAAGGGTNAGATTTATCAAAACAGAAATCAGAAATACAATCATTTTACAGTTTTAATTAATGATAATGCTTAAAAATAAAAGAAATAGGGAAGTATAAAATAGAAAACAAGGCTTACAAAAATGTTACCAATCAAAAAACCACTTAGATTTTTCAATTAAGGTCAGTGAAAGCCAAATGAACCCAATAAAAAAAAACCTACTAATCCTGAAAAAATTTTATTTCAGAGGAAGAGAGAAAATTTACAGTACAAAGCTCAATTTAACTTTAAAGAAAAACCATCGAGTTTTCATTTTTATTTGACATCGTTCTCTAGGAATAATTTTTTAAAAAAATTTATTACTTTTTTTAAATAAATAAAAGATTGAAATTGCACAAGACTTCTATAAATTTTTTTTAGTTATCTTTTGTCCATATGTAAATTAAAAAAATGCTGATCTAAATTAACTAAACTTTGATGTTTAATTTACACAAAATTAAAGTTGTTGAAAAAATTGGTCTTCTACACCTTTGTCTAAATTGGTTAATTTTAATTTACCTGTAAAGTGTTTAAAAAAAAATCTTTTGACCATTATTTTCATGAAGTATATAACGTTCATGAAAAAAATCATTTTTTATAACACTATATTGTTCAGGTGCTCCATGTAACTCAAAACAAGCAATAAATTAACAGCACTTTGTAAGTCCAGGACTATAAGCATGAGTAATAATCAATTAATCACTACTAAGTTGAATATAGAGGGATGATATACTTCTTTTTAATGCTTTGGTCTATTTCTTCACTATAATTATGAATATTACATTTTCCGTAATTTTGTTATTACTTATGCCACTTGCCAATGCTAGCAAGTCTGCTTGAAATCAAGCAAATTTTTAAGGCAGAAGGGTGTGTTTCTTGTTTTTTCAGTAGCACCATTTATGTTCCGTAATTTTTGTTTAATGGATAAGTAATCTCTTAGTTCTTTGGATCAATGACATTTACTTAATTTTTACTTTCACCATATATACAAAAAAATTGACTAATTTTTTATGTAAGCAACAATTTTATCCAATGTTTGACACTGGTAAAGTTATGGTTAAACAATGACCTAAAAGAAGAAATAAAATAAAGTTAATAGATAATAATGAGTAATAATAGCTTCCTATATCAGATCAGCACTTTCATCAATGGTTCAGTAATCTCTGTCTTAAAGAACAGGTATTTCACTAAGGACCAAATAAAATTTAAATTTCTAATAAATGCCTTAGTAGGCAAGAATTAATAAAGAATTAGAATTAATTTGAATAAGAATTAATAGAATTAATTTAGCTAGAATTAATTTTTTTAATAGTCTTAAACTGTTTTTAATTTTATACAAAACATAACAGAAAATTTTTAAAAATATTAGAATTTTAAGAGAAATATAATACTATAAACCTAACATTTTTTTTAAACCTTTCTCTGCAGAGTAAAAAGAAAATTTATCATAACTGCAAATACAAAGTCTATCCAAAGTAAAAAGTCAATTTTTTTCTTTAAATTTAATATTTGGGAGCAAATTATTATCTTTGATTTGCTGTTAAAAATGAAAAATGATTTTAAATATATTAAATAATTAATCTAAACATAATATGATGAAATCATATGAAATGCTGTCTACTTTTTGCCTGTCTCTACTCAATTGGATAAGCAATCTTAAACATTTCCATAAGTTGTATTTTGACTTAACAAATGAATTACATTCTAATGTACACAGTTTTGAAAAGCATTAGAGAAACTGATTATTTAATTTAATTTCTGAAGTATAAAAATAAGACAGCTCAGGTTATTTAGAAACAAGGGGTATAACATAACCTACTAACAAGAAATTGAAATAGTTACCTCATCAGGACCATCAAAACAAACTCCACACTCTATCTTTCTTTTTTTCTTCTCCCTAAAAACACAATCTTGTTAGAACCAACTTTAAATGAGTAAATGAAGAAATTCATTTGTTTTTATCACTAATAAGAGTTACTGATTTGTGACAAGCACTATATAAATACAAAAGAATAATGTAAGCTTTTGAACTCAAATGTTTTTGAAATAAGTTTTGGAACTTAGACCCTTTTTACAAACTAAATATTCTCAGTGAATGAGGAAAAAATCAAGAAGATTTTTCTGTTTTGCTTATGGTAAAAAATTTTGGTAATGTTTTCTAATAATTTAGTACAATGTAATAATATGCAGGGTCATTAACAAAGAATGCTGTAAATTTTGAAATTATGCAAGTAAGTAAACTCACATAAACATATGCATTTTTACCCATTTCAATATGATTTAAAAAATGCAAAATAAATTGCTTGTTAGACAAACAGTTTCGCTTACGGCTATAATTTGATTTAATAGATGGTAGATGTCACTTCTATAATCCAACATTTCAGTAAACCAAAATAAGTTTAAAAGGAACCTATTTTTAATGGCTTTTTACAATATAAATAAATTCTCAACAATATTACTAAGTGTAGTCCTAAAATGCTGTTAACTCAGAGTTTGGATAATTGAGCAATTGCAATGGCACAGTGATTAAGTCACTAAGCTGATAATGTGAAAGACTAAACTTTTATTCTGATGGCAGCTTGGAGCCCTCAAATTGATAGGAACTATGTTGTATGGGAAGTAAAAGTGGCTTATGTGGGCAGTAAAGGTGGCCGACCACATCATTAGTATTTAAGTCGCTGGCCTAGAAACACTGCGGAGCCTTAATGTCAATGATCTCCTTGGCTGACGGCTGTGAAATTACGGTACTTTTCCATTATACCGGAGCAGGCGATAAAGCCGTCAATAATGATGCAACCTAAGTCAAACGGAATATCGCTTCTGGCAACCTTTTGCCTTCACATTTTCAACGCAAGTCGCTGCCATTTTTTCTCTCCATCAGTCACGTCTTCTTCTCAATATGAAAAATTAACGCAAAAAGCAATGAAAATTTGAGATTTATCAAAACAGAGAAAGAAGCAGTCAGATTCTTTCAAGAGAAAGGCATTTTAGCTGAAATCACAATTTGTGATAAGAATCATGAAATGTAATTGCATATCGAAGATAAAATTCAATGGCATTGCAACCTTTCATCTTGTCCGCTGTAAAAGAAGTATCCGTAAAGGCACATGGTTTCAGTTATCGAAATTGGGCTTTTTGAAGAGTTTATTTATTGTTGGAGCTAAGTTAAATGGTGTGAAAAGCAGTTGGAAATCAGACACGGAACAGTTGTAGACTGGAATAACTTCATGCATGAGGTTTGTGTGTATTCTTTACTTAAACGTGAACAACGGAAAATAGGAAAACCTGTCATGATCGTTAAGAGGATGAAAGCTTGTTTACGATTTCTAAAAAACAATGCGGGGCGGATTATACCACAACGATGGATATTCCGTGGAGTTTGCCGGAAAACATACAAATGTTTCCTTGTGGAGGTGCCAAACCAATCCTTGAACACTTTATTGAAGGCAATTAAGGAAAACATCGAAAAAGAAACTATAATATATTCTGATTCATGGAAATTATACTGACAAGTAAGCTAGAAGATGAAAGTTTCGAACATTTCAAAGTGAACCATAAGTACAACTTAGTGGATTCGGAAACTGGAACGCACAAGCAGAAAATAGAGTGATTGTGGGGTAATAAGAAATAAGAAACAAAGAGGAACGGCACTTCATCACCTCAAAAGTTATCTTGCGGAATTTATGTGGAGAAGGCAAACGGAGGACCCATTTGAAAATATTTTAAGCGATATTAAAATGTTTATGCCTATGAAGTAAAAGAAAATTGGACCATTTATTGAATGTTGTTTTTTTATGTGCATGCTGTGTGTTGTGTCCAATAAAGTCTGCTTCGTGTGATTTGTTCCAGCGACTGAGTGCCGTCGCCAAAAAGTCTGCTTGGCGAGATTTGTGCCGGTATAATGGAAAAGTACCAAAATTACTTTAGATAAATTAAGCAAAAAATTCTCAGATATTATCATTAGTTATGAATTTATAAGAGGCATGTACTGTATACATAACATTCAGAGATCATCCAGATATCATATAAGCAAATTTTTTATTTTTTTGGATAATAATATAAGCATATAAATTTATCTACACACCTTCGTCAAAACAAATAATTAAAAATTAAGCTAAGAATATGTTTATGTAAAATACTTTTTCCCAAAATGCAATTTTTTTTATTCAATAATAATTATTATTTTTGAAATTTAAAAGAAAGTATCTTATTTAAACTCAAGTTTTTTTATGAGCAAAAATAAGATAATATCTACCCACTCTTAGATGTTTATGCAATATTTGAATATCCACTTTAATTTTTTTTAACTTAAAAAATTAACTTACGCTGATTCAGAGGCTATTTGTTGCAATCTATTCAAAACATAATTTTGGCTTTCAGGCGGTGTAGCAACAGGAACATAGGTGTTTCCTTCAACAATTAAGACGGAATCATCTAATGAAAGGTCTGTGTATTCTGTTACACTACTAAAATATAATTGAAAACATATGAAAAATGAAAGTGGAAACTTTCTTTATTCTCACGTTTGAGATTAAATTTAAAATGTGGATACATAAATTAAAGAAATTTTAAAGAACTCACTTAGGGTATTCACTTTGATTTGATGGCCTTGGATTCTGAGATTTTCTGTGTTTTTTCTTAGCCTCTGTGTTTGGACTCATGTAATTTTCTAAAATTTGCACTTCTGACGGTGATGCTTTCTTTTCAAAAACTATACAAAAATCATCATCATCATTAGAATGGTTAATAGATGAAGATTCTATATCACCTGATGTAAAAGGAATAGTAACAGGTAGACTGGAAGAAGAAAGATTAGGAGGAATATCATTGTCCGGTTGAAGCTCTATCCATCCTTCATCTTCCTCTATACACTGAAATTTAGAATTACAGCTAAATAAGTAAACAATTGAAACAAATACTTTAATAAAATTTCTTTCAGTGAAAATTTTTTAATTTTTACAGCAGCTTAAAATCTAAATTATAAAAGTGGAAATTTTGAACAGACAAACTTCTGAACAGAAATGTCTAAAAAACAATAAAAAAAAGGTAATTTATATATATATAGACATAAAATTTGTATACTACAATAATAATAAAATAGGACAGGATTTTGAGGAATATGTATGTACTTCTAGTAATTTTACTTTTAAAATTTCATAGCTATTTTTTTTTTTTTATGAGAGTGACGGCACTGAAAATTATTGAAATGCTGAAAGCAATTTCTCTATAATTAAATCCAGTTATGCACCACTCAATTTCTAAAAAAAAAATTCTCTGACTTTTTCAGGTAAATTTAATTTCAATGAAAATCCAGACTATATTTTATCGACAATGTAATGTTAAATATTTGTTTTGGGATTTAAGATTTCTCAATGAATGGAGAAAAATAATAACCATTTTATTTATATTGCAATAAATGACAATCAAGAGACAGGGTTAGAAATATAAAATTTTTAGAAATGACAAATTATTTGTTTTATATATATATATATAAAAACGAATATGCACGCTTAAAATATGCTAATGAATTTAACATCTTCCATCCCAAATTATGCTTCTTACATATACAAATTTCAGTCACAATTATTTCAGATTATTTTAGTTAAAAAATAATTATTAATTATTTTAGAAAAAAAAAGAATTTTTTTTCTCATTTGGTCTAGAAAATATTAACTAAAAAAAATTATTATTATTTAAAAAAAAATATAGTTATATTGAAAATACTGAGATTAAGAGCAAAAAAAAAATTCTGAATAACTTTTGATCTAATGATCTTCATGTTCTAATACACAATCTTAATGGCTCGACAGGGTAACTTCAAATATGCTAATTAATAATTGTAGAATATATTGTAAGTTATGAAATCAGACATAAAAACATACTTTCTCTAAATAAACATATCCTTTTTTTTGTTGACAAATTCGGATTTCTGACCCCCAAAATATAGGAGTCAGCTGTCAATATAACCCCATAGTTTGGTCAGGAGAGCGATCTTAAGTTTGGACCCCACAATGATAATTTTATTTTTTGCATATTTCGCCAGATCTTGAGAACTTACTGAGCTATCGAAAATATTTTGCATACAATTACAAAACTCATTTATCTAAAGGTATCTCCCAGAAAGAAAGAAATTTTAGTGGATATTTATTATTTTATTTAATAATAGTCAAAATAATTTCGAATTATATGGTATAAAATTTTCTACACCATTTTAAAGTATCTAATTTAATATGGCAAAATACAAAATTTGATTGAAATTGGGTGAATACTTCCTGAGAAATCGAATATTGTATATTTAATCGAATATTATACAAAATTTACATATTTAAAATTCGATTTCTCAGGAACTATTCAACCAATTTTGATCAAATTTTGCCATGCAAAATTAGATACTTTAAAATGATGCAAAAAATCGTATACCTTATAATTCAAAATTTTTTGGAATTTTATTTAAATAAAACGATAAAAAATAAATCTTTACTAAAATTTATTTTTTGTATGAAATCATCTTTGGATAATTGAATTTAAAAGTTGCGTGCAGGAAATTTTTGAATTTGCTTAAAAAGTTCTCGAGATATGGTGAAATATGAGGAAATGAAAATTAACATTAAGGGGTCCAAATTTCGGACCGCTCTACTGACTAAACTATTAAGACCATATTTCCCAGATTGTGGATATCCCAATATTTTAGGGGTCAGGAATCTGAATTCATCGAAAAAGAGTAATGTTTTTTAAGAGAAAGTACATTTTTGTGTCTGATTTCGTAACTTTAACTATCATTTGCACTTATTTAGAATATTAAAAGTCAACCCCTCGAGCGATTGAGTCCTAGAAAGTGAAGATCCAATCATTAAATGAAAAAAATTTCAGGGTGGTCCCTTTTTTGATGCTCGGTACATTTTTAAATATTGATATTTTCTTATGATATATCAGAATATTAAAAATTAAGATATCCTTCAGCACTAGTCATTATGTATATGACTAGTCATTATGTCCTTCAGCACTAGTCACTAGTATATATTAAGGAAATGAAATTTTTTTTTCTTGAACTTGTTAAATTGTATAAGAAATTGGTGATTGTACAACATGCTGTTTATAACGCACGAATAACAATATTTATACCAATATATAACTGCAACTTTTTAGGCTTAGATGTCTATATGTAAATAAACAGTAAAAAACTAACACACGTCTAAATTTAATCAGCCTTGATTTTAATAATTAATTATGACAACAGTATTTGAGTGGTAGATGCTTACAATTATTGAGTCTTCTGTATTGACAACTTCAATCGATTCGGAAACACTGAAATTACTTTGATTGAGTGGTTCAACTTCAGCTAAAATGGAAGAAAAAACTTTAAGCATATATTACTGCTAACCAGATTTTTTTTCCCCCAATTCAAAATATCATTGATAATTTTCTTAATAATTTTTTGCTATTACACTTTGTAACATTGTCTATTTCTGTCACATGTTTTTCCTAATGTAACTTATTCATGTAATTTTTTTTCCAAATTTGTCTATTTTTCTCACTTGCATTTTAAATCAGATATGTTTTTGAATATTTTCACTTATAAAAAAAATTATTCTTTGAGGAACAAAACTTCTTTTTATCACTACTTATGTTGCAAGTAGATACATTTTCTTGACAAGTTATGTGTTGTTCTTCAAGCAAACATTTGTCTACATTAGGATTGTGTCATATATTCAGTCATTCATTGTCCTTGAATATATAACTAGTGATGCATTCTTCAAGCAAGCATTTGTCTACATCAGGATTTTGTCATATATTCAGTCATTCATAGTCTTTAAACATATGACAACTTTTATGATTCCAAAGTGACCTCTTAGATGTTTATGCAATATTTGAATATCCACTTTNTATTACTGCTAACCAGATTTTTTTTTCCCCAAATCAAAATATCATTGATTATGTTCTTAATAATTTTTTGTTATTACACTTTGTAACATTGTCTATTTCTGTCACATATTTTTCCTAATGTAACTTATTCATGTAATTTTTTTTCCAAATTTGTCTATTTTTCTCACTTGCATTTTAAATTATATATGTTTTTGAATATCTTTACTTATAAAAAAGTTATTCTTTGAGAAACAAAACTTCTTTTTATCACTATACTTATGTTGCAAGTAGATACATTTTCTTGACAAGTTATGTGTTATTCTTCAAGCAAACATTTGTCTACATTAGGATTTTGTCATATATTCAGCCATTCATTGTCCTTGAATATATGACTAGTGATGCATTCTTCAAGCAAGCACTTGCCTACATCAGAATTCTGTCATATATTCAGTCATTCATAGTCTTTAAATGTATGACAACTTTCATGATTCAAAAGTGACAGGTGAAATGATACTAAAGAGTCAAAATGTGATGCATTGAGAGGACCACTTTTGTGATGCGAACTTAACACAAGTCTTTTCCAGAATTCTAATTTGTTTGAAAGTTATGGCAATTTTAAGTACTTCCTTTTTGCTTCATGTAACATTTTACCTAAAAATTATTGAAACTACAAAAGTAAGTAAATAAATGTACTAGGAATATAATGAAATAAAAATAATAATAATTAAGATTTAATTATTAGTTCAAAAATTATGAACTCTTAAAGTTGTATTTTGTCATATTCCATATAAATCAATCAACTGAAATGCAACAACTTGAAATTTGACATGCTGAAAGGGCCATTTTCAATTAAGAACTTAAATTTTTTGTTAAGAACTCTAACATGCTAAAAGGGCCCTTTTTACTAAACTTTAATTTGTTCAAAAGCTACTGCAATTTTAATTGCTTTATTCACAAATTTTTTTTCTTCACTTTTTTGCTTAAAAAAATTATTATTTATCCATTGTTGGTATGAAAAATATAATTCTCTTGAAATCCTCATTTAAAAAGTTTATGCTTGACTTAATATCAAAAGTAACAACAAAAAAAAAAGGAATAAAAGAAAAAAATATCTTATATATGTAGTGGAATGTAACAGTTAGGCGAATTGCATCATCTACTTCCTCGTTGAAAGGTGCCAGCCTCTCCAGAAGAGAAAGCTCCGGTATCCAAGGTGCCATTGAGTCCAGACGGGAAAGGTCCCGAATAAATTAATAACTCTTACTCTTTTCCATAGAACAATCTGATTTAGCATTCTTTTTTGATCCGGCAACCCTGCGTGTAGGCAGCTCTCACCGGTCATGATATCGCTGTTAAACTTATTTCCTTTTTTTTAATTAAATGCTAAGTTTCATTATTAAACTATTGTCTTTATTTCCTCCCTTACTCCACAAACTCCTACATATATAATGTAATAACTCTTATGAGAGAGTGATTAGGTGGTGCCAAATATATATCTTAATATTCATTTTGAAATTTTATAAAAATATGAAAAAAGATTCGAGAGAGACAAAAGCCATTGCAAATTTATAATGTTATAATGATCTAAACTTATTGTTTTATATAATTAACAATTTCCATCAATTTATCCTTATCATGTCACACAACCTGTATCTACAGTTTATTATTTTTTAAAACGGGGTATTGATTTATTTCTTTTTGAAGAATATATTAACAAAATATTTTTTCATAAAACTATATATTTCATAAACAAATGATAATTTTCAAAAATATTAAATTTTTATTTAAAAAAAATTATGAGAGGAGTAAACAGGGTGTGGAGCCTCCAAGTAATGCAAATATTCTTAACATCTAAAAATTAGAGAACAATAGAACTTTCCTGGGTCAAATAAAATGTAACAAACTCTTTTCTATAACTTAATCATACAAAATTAAACATAATACATTCTATATCAACTAAAAGTTCTATACCATGATTGTCAACCCAAAAATAGAAAAAATTCTTAGATTTTAAATTAATTGAAACCTTATTAACTAGATATTATTTGTTTAATTTTAACTGCATATTTTATATCATAGACAGGTTTAATCCACTAAAAAAGTCTGTAAAGAAACTAACACATACAATATGAATGGTAAGTAAATTAAATGGGCTAATAAAAAAAAAATTTTAAAAAAAAAGAGAAAGAGAAGGAATAACTTTACAACATAGCTAGAATAAATATTAAAATCTTTTAAAATGAAATTGCTTGAAAAACTAAACACATAAAATTAAAATACTAAAAGTAACATATAAAAGAAAAGAAATTTAAAGAAAGGTAAATAAAATTATTTAAAAAAGAATACAATATGAATATTTTTTTTTAAAAAAAAGTAAGCAACACATAAACTATTTTTTATCAATTTCCAACTTAAAAGTCATCGTTGCCTGAGCTATGATTTCAAACAACTGACTTTGTTTTAATAGAAAACAAACCCGAAACAAAAGAAATGAATCAAACTTGCTATGAGATATAAGATTTTATTAAATTATTTATTTTTACTTGATTCTAATATATTTCAAATGAGTATTTTTTGTTATAATTTATTTCTCTCTCTCTCTCTCTTTCAAATTAATATTTGGATAGAAATCATTGGTATGATATTCTTGATTTGTCTCTATTGTTTGACATGCGCAATTTTGTGGTTTCTTGGTTTTATTTTTTAAAGATAGCACTTATAGCGTAAAATTAACAACAATTAACACACAAATTTAAAAGTTCTACAATAAAATGGGTGGCTAAAACAAAGTACATAGGGCAGACATTCATTGCTTTCTTAAGCCATTAGTAAAACAGGTATCACTTATAATATTCTTAAAAGTATTATTTATTTTTTATTTTATTTTGAATGACATCGTTATTTACAGGTAAAATACATACAATATAATTCATATTTTATTAAATATGAACTAAATTTTTATGAATTTAGTAAGTTGTATAAGGGAAAACATAGCATAAATTGAAAAATAACTTATAATTGAAAAAGGTGCATACGACTTCTGATTTCAAATGAATCTTCAGGTAAACTGGAATTTATTACAGTGACATCCTCTTGATCTTCCTATAAAGAGTTGTTAAAAATTATTATAGTTAAAAGGAGATTAATTATCTGTGTATACTAATTGTAAGGCTTGGCCACTCTATTTTCAAAGGTTAAAGTATATTTAGACCAAACCTTTTCTTTGTATTATTTTCAGATAGGTACTTTACAAGTTTGGGATCTTTCTATTAAATAACTGATAAAACACAATAACATCTTATTGCTTACATGAGAATTGCGATGTTTTTCTTTAAAAAAATTTTCTTTATCAAAAATGTTTTTAAAAATGCTCTCCTGAACAATTTAAAAATGTGGCATATTACTATATTGTCCGAAGACCTTCAACTGGTATATATGGAACAAAGATGAAACTTCAAGTACTAATGAGCTTGTTTTCTTAATCTGATTTATAATTATGATATTTGAAGCAGTTTTTTTTCTGCATTACATAAATAATAAACTTAATCGTATATAACTCTATGCCCTAATGCTTATTCCATTAACTATTAAGCAAGGGAAGTATAATAGTTCTTGGTTTATTTGAAATATAAATGAGAGTGTAAAAATTATTATGTATAGTATTAATTTAAAGCGTTTTTACTATTTAAAGCAGACATGTATTTAGATTGAATTGAATTTTTTTTAAGGAAATTATTTTGTTTTCCATTAAAGAATTGCCACATGAAAGCAGAAACTTGCGTGATGAAAACTCATCTATATCTTTAAATATGCTAATTAAGTTATACCATTATGCTATTTATATACCTAATATTTTTTAATTGTATAATTGTCTGCTACATTGTTATTCTCCCTAATATTCTTCTCGTTAAAAAATTGAATTTAAGAGAAATTTTGCTTTCAGCATTAAAATTTACTATGTAGGGCCACAACCAAACAAGCAAATTATTTTTTAGCTATTTAATTTTAAAATATAGCATTAGATACAATAGCTAACACAGAAGCAAAAATAATATTCCTATCACACAACATTAACTAAGCCTAACCATAGATACCTACTTTACCCCACCTCATAAAACAACTCATAATAAATAGAATTTTGAAATTTATTCTTAAATTTCTATATAAATTTTTTTCTTTAGACATCTCTCTACTAGTTTGAACTAAAATGAATAGTTTTTGATAGTTTGTAATGATATTAGAAGTAGGTTCATCAACAGCTTAAATTAACACATTTTATAAGTTGATCATAAACAAATAGTTAGTTAATTTTTTTCATCAGTTTCTAATACTGAAATAAAAATGCTTGCCACAATCCCAGTAAATGCCTCTAAAAATATTAAATAAATTATCAACTTAGAAGAAGAAAATATATGTTTTTTAACAAAATACTCACTTTTCCCCCACCTGACTCTATCCAATAAAATTCCCCCCAATACCAAAAATAAAACTAGCCCCACGTTTTTGACATCAAAAACTCAACCTTGGGTTAAACTCAAAAATAAGTGTAACTTTGATAATTTTATTATCGTATAAAATTTGCAGAATGAATATGTAACATGTTCAAGGCTGCCTTTTTGAAGTCGTCCGAAGATCACTCAAGGTAAATATAAATGTAATACAATCATGAATTTAATGTATGAGAACAATACTTAACAAACATGATTTAAATTTATGGGATATTTCCGCATCATGACCTGTCGCGCCTACTACAATTGCCAAGGTGAGAAATAGATTTCAAACTTGCAAATTTTTTTAAAAATAACATGAAGATGTTTGGCTACACATTATACTTTTCAAGTTGGTCCTTTTCGATGATTTTTTTTTTTTTAGTTTCTTATGAGAAACTGCCCAGTAGTTGTCAATTAGTATAGTTGTATTGACAATTAGTTTAGTTGACCCTGAAGTTGTATTGGAGATTATTCTGCCACAGATCACAATACAGGAATTAGCCTTAAATTTAGATTAGGGGGATATTTCCGTATCATGATCTGTGGCAAAATAACCACTAAGTCTTGGCAACTTCCAGGCAGCAACCTGTTTGAAACTAAAAAAACATCACAGAAAGGGATCAACTCGAAAGGTATAACTCGTAGCTAAACCTGGGCAATCAACTACATTTTCTTTTTCAAAATTTGCAAGTTTAACATCTGTTTGGCGTCTGTACTTGCCAAGACAGATCACGTTACGGAAATATCTCCTAGATGAATGTGCAATTTTGTCGAATGGTGACCATAAAAATTATTCATGTTTTATGGCTGGACGAATAGTAGGAATTTAGAGTTCAGGTAAAACAAATACCGACCTAGTAAAGGTGGAAGGATAAACTGCTTTAAACATATATAATTAATAAAATATTTTTTCTGACATAAATTAGAAGCTTTGTATTTTATAATCGACTTATTTAAATTTTATTACGATTATTTAAGCCACACAAAAACAAACATTCCAAAAAAAGTATAATTAAAATTATCCTGTCGATGGAATTTTTAACAAATTTATAACACAGAACACTATTTTCCAAAATATATAGATATTATTTAGAAAATCACTTTATGCATTATTAGGTCGTCTGATTTAATCGAATTTCTAAAGATATTTCATGATATCTCGTTTTTGTTTTTACACTGTACTACATAAAAAAATTTTAAGCAACATTTACCATTATTTAATTGGGGTATAAGTTTTAAGAGCTCACTATTGAACACTAATTCGCAAATATTATGAAATAACCTGAGCGATTTCAACTTTAATCGGCAACTTTTATAAACAAAGAAAAACATTAATGACTTCGAAAGAAAATAAAACTCCGACAGGTTCCAATTCTTATTTTGGATGAACTGACTACAGTGGATAAATTCGAAAGACGCAAATCGCATTGGTTTTTACAGATTAACAGAACGAAAACTGAATAAACCGATTGCTACGATTTTCGTAGTGCAGTGACTGAGCATTGCCATTTGAGCAAATATAATTCCGGAATGAAAACTAAGTGTCCTCAAATTTGAGGACAGTTTCCATCTGGTTTCGAGACTAGAAAAATCTCATTTACGAAAGCCGGAAGAGAAGGAGTAATGAAGATGGCTGTTTACTTTCAATGTTATGATTGAGTATCGAGTGATTGAAGCTAATTTATGAGTATTTGAGGCTCATCATGATATTTATTATTATATGAGTCTCAAATTACTGCGTTAATGGTTAGATTAAAACCTGGATAGACCTTCTTCCCTTGGCCATGGGTGCCCAACAGGGTAAAGAAAATAGAGGAAGCAGCTCCTCTGTAGGAAGTGGGAGCCATGGAGGTAAACCTTCAAAACATAAATCAAAATCTAAAGATTCTAGGATATCCTCTGGAGCTGCAAACATATTTACAGAACACAATGGTACGTCATAGCCAATTACTAATGATTATTCTGTAATTGATACTCCTTGTAATTGGTAACTTACGTCAACCCTGTTATGTTTACCATTCATATTTTTATCAAATAAAATTCTAAATGAGTCGGGAACGTTATGGAATTAAACTCTACATTGTTATAACTAAGCATAAAGATTACCTAAATATTATAATGTACCTTAGCTATTAAAATTTTACTTGGTAAATTATAAAAGCCTTAAAAATTGCAGGATATATTATTTCTAATTGCTCTATAAAAAATTTTTATTGTTATGAATCTTATTGTTTAACAATGACATCTTTGGTGTTTGTTATATTTATTGTATTATTTTTTCCTGACTACTCTTTATTAATTTAAGAAAATTCATCTTTTTTTAAAGTTTTTTTCTCATTCCAAGTTGTGTTGACAATTCTGTCATATTTTCACAATATTAAACATTTTTTAATTGCATTAAAACATAATGTCTATAAAGTTATTAATTTATGGTATAGTAATAAGTAAATAGTTATAATCATATGAAGTAATTTATTGTAAAGTATTTGCATGCATGCATTACTTATTATATTAAGTAGTAAAATGAATTTAATATGTGTGATTGGATCTTGTTAATCAAATGAGAGCTTCTTTAAATTGATATGAGGCAAATAAAATGAATCCTTTTGAATATTTTGATAAAATCATAAATTAATGTAAAGTATGTCATTATTTACATACTTCGAAAAAAAATTCCTTAAGAAAAACAAGGTTCACATGAGTGCATTTTTCTAATTTTTAAACTTGGTAATGTTAATTAGTTTATTTAAAACATAAAATTTCTGATTGCAATATTAATACTAAGTAATGGCTTAAATTCCATATTGAGTATATCACATTACATTGAGGGCTTGTTGTTCTTTATTTTATGCTAAAAGCTATAAAAGTATGAAAAAACTATTCTTGTACTCATTTTGTGAGGGAGCCTCTTGGATTCTAGTGTATTGTTTATGCCTTTAGTGTTAATATTAAATTGATCTTGTATTAATTTTTTTTTTAAAGCATGCTAGGTAAAAGAAAATACATAAAAATAAGAATATGCAATGGATATAAAAAGTGAAATTAATTTATAGTGAAAAACTTATTTTTCAGCTGAAAAAAAAAAATTTTTTTTTTTGTACACTATAGATTTAGGTTGGCAAATTTTTAAAGTTTTGAAGTATAACAGATTTACTGATTTTAATTGCAGAACTATCTCTGACATATAGGCAACCTAAGATTTATAATTTTTTAATTATTTACACATTTTCTTCACCTTAAAATAACCTGCAATGATTTTGTTATTAACCTTAATTTGATAATGTATTTAGCTATAATATACAAACATATATATATACTAGGTCAATAAAATAAAAGTGCTTTTTGTGAGAAAAATGACTGAAAAAAGATCTGTTCGAAAATATAGAATTACAATTACAGTTNGTATAACAGATTTACTGATTTTAATTGCAGAACTATCTCTGACATATAGGCAACCTGAGATTTATAATTTTTTAATTATTTACACATTTTCAAGTGCTTTTTGTGAGAAAAATGACTGAAAAAAGATCTGTTCGAAAATATAGAATTGCAATTACAGTTGAGATATTCGTTTATGATTTGAAAGCCTGTAATCGCACTCTTTAATTTAAAACTAATAGTTAGTTTGTTATATGTATGTGTTTTCACATTTCTTAGTTAATATTTTCTTTATCATATTTTTTTTTAACTGTTTGATTGTACTAACTAACAGAAATTAAATTCCCTGGAGTCTATGAGGTGCTATAGTAAATTTTGTACTAAGGGCTTCCTTAAAATAGAGTGACCCCTGCCTAGTGATTAGCTTCCTGGTCAAAAGATTAATATTAATACTTGTGTTGTTCATTAATAGCAGTAATCAACATAATCTAAGAATGCCAAACGTATCAATTTATCCCACTTGAGGTTTGTTAACCCTTTTTTTTCTTGAGCATTTGGATATTTAGAAGCATGTAAAAAAAATACTGCGAATGACATTTATATAATTATCTAAATCTTGTCCTATATCTTCGTCTATGATATCCTTGGATTTTTTTTTATTACATTATTAGGTGTGTTTAAAAAGTATCTGACTTTTTATAAAGTCAACATTTACTGATGTACAATTACATTCACAAAATCCTAGTTCCCGTAACAAATCAATACCTCTGTGGGTACTGAATTAGAGATTGATCATTCTCTGGTGCAGGTCAAAACATCGATCTGTGGGTGAATGAATGGAGTAGGATCAAGGTTGGCAAGTTTCTGCCGAGGTGGTTAAAACCACTGGCAGAAACCCTTTTCTACACATTTGTGGCAGAAATTCAGAAAATGACATAAAAGTAAGTAGTGAGATTGGCATACAATGGATAATTCATAGAAATGAATCAGTTAATTGATCATGAATCAGTGAATCTAACCAATTATATCGCCTCTTACATGCAGCAAAGGTTAAAAGTGTTACTGTTATAATAATTGGATTGTTGTCATGCAAATTATGTCTTGAAAAGAAAAAAACTATTTGAAAATAGCTCTATTCAGTTACGTTAAGTTTTAAATGATAATAATTACTGAATTTCAGAGTTTCATGTAATAAACTAAAATCTAGTATTTATATTTATTATTACATTATTTTATTCTTTATTTTATATAAATATTTGTTATACTGCACTCTTTAAATTTAATCTAAACAAAATAATATATATTTACAAACAATGAATTAAAAAGTTTGTTACAGTTACAGGGAGTTAAATTTTTCAGTTTACTTAAGCAAAATGTCATCAAGCAATTACTAGAACTAATATAGACAGTGTGCGGGTGGGTGACCACTTGGATCAGTCTGCGTAGGGACCGAGGGTGTGCGGTATTGGTCCTCGTTAAACTGTGCTACCGTAAAGTGCTCGACTTCGCGCGCAGGTCGTCGGGCTACCGAAGCGGGGGTGCCATCCCCTCCGCAGAGGATCAAAATTGTGATGGCATGTCTTCGGATCATCCTCCGGGAAGTTTCCCAGACCGTCGCCAATAGCCCATTGTGCAGCTCTAGTGTGACGTAAATTAACAACAAGAACTAATATAGAAGTTTTTTTAGTTTCTGCCGGTTTTTACCGGTTATAACCAGTTTCTGCCGACAAAAAGCCAACCCTCAGTAGGATTAGGTCTTCCCTGTAAAACGGGCTGTGATGTGTGTGTGGCTGAAGTCGTATTCTTGGATATAGATGGCTCCACTGAAAAAACACTTGTGTTACAAATTCAGATTTATAGCAAAAGAATTAATAAATCAAAGTGGTATATTTGTCTCTTTTTTTTTATATGGTTGGAGTAAAATGGATTCAATATTTTTAAAATGTTATTACGCAAATGAAAATTTTATATCAGGCAATTGAGTCTTCATTTTATTGCTCACAACTAACGCTAATTCCATCGTAAACATAGTAATGTTTTAATAATTTTTTTTTTTTGCCAGTTATTACTATAAATTTTCACTTCTTGAAATCCCAATGTCTTTCATTGCTTAGTTATTACTATTGATATTCATGATTTTTTTTTAAATACCGGTATTATTACGGCACGCGAATTTCGAATCAAGCTTTAAAGTACCCTATTTTCAGAGATAAACCTTGAGTTTATGATTTGAAACCTTGAATTTTGGTACGTACGGCGTATCTAATGGGACATCCGATCTAGTGATTTTTTTTCCTTCTTGAAAATTTTACTTTTGTTGAGTTGATTCGTCAAAATTTCGATAACCCTTTTTATCTTTTGCAGTGATCTATTTTTTATTTTAGGATTAATCAAATCATTGTTAATCAAAATCTTGCAATGCTTTCTAGCGCATGCTTCTTGGTGTAAAGGTTAAGCTGTCTACCTTCTACCAGAGAGGTCGGAGTTTTTAATCCCAGCTGACGACCGTTTGATAATTTATTTGACAAAAGAAAAAAATTGTAAATTAATGATATAATTGTGTGATTTTTACTAAAGACACCCGGTGGCTGAGTGGTAGCGCTTTGCTCTCCCGTGCCACCGGTCCTGGGTTCGATTTTCGGGCCGGACAAGGTTGTCTCAGTCTTTCATCCCTTCAGTGGGTCGATAAATGAGTTCCAAGCATGCTTATGAACTAAACTCTGGAGATTCCATGTTCAGCTGACCACCTGACCCGAACATCTGCTCCTGCTCCCCAGAGCCCAAGACCAAGAAAACTGAGATAGGCACAGTACATACCTGCCAACTCTTCCTGTTTTTCCGGAAGATTTTAATTTTGTATTTAAAGTGGTACCGAAACTCATCTCATAAAAATTTTTGAATTATAATAATAATTATAAATGAGTTTGACCACCACTACGTTTAAATAATTACTACAAATATATCAAAGCATACTAGTCTTCACGATAGCGAATTTTAACCTAGTCA